TATATATTTAAATATTTGAATAAAATATTACTACTCTTCTCGTTTAAAATAAACATAGTAAATATTTTTTACAATTTTTGCTGACCAATTAAACTATTTTTGTTAATTAAGTTATACAACATATATTTAATAATATTAAAAATAATCTCAGAACAATGAACACTAAAAAAGATCTTCTCAAAGTTCAAAACTACAACAACATCCATTCAACTTTATAAAGCAATATTGGTAGAGCTGCAATTATAACTCTCTACCTCAGCACCAAGAAAGAAAAAAATTTACCCATGAACTACAAATTCTTTTTAAAATTTATTTTCTACAATTCTTAACTTGGGAAAAAAAATAATTTTATATTTTTTAACCTTCATACTACAGATTATACAAGGTCTTGAAAGTTATATATATATATATATATAGGCTAAGAACATGCAACCCCACATATTTGCTATTTTAACCTTCATACTACAGATTATACAAGGTCTTGAAAGTTATATATATATATATATATAGGCTAAGAACATGCAACCCCACATATTTGCTATTTTAACCTTCATACTAGTTCTCCTTCTTATCCATCGTACTCCCTTAAACAATTATTATTGACTATATGATTCGTAAATACTTACGTATTTTTATTTATTTTTTATTAGTAGCAAATGTTTATGAGACTTAAAAAAATTTATTTAAATTTCGATCCAAGAGATTCTTAAAGCATCCAAGAATTGTTGACAACATAAAAAATAATTTTAATTATCTTTTTTTTAGATCAGGAAAAAAAAATATTTATCAGGATTAATTTAGTATAAAAAATAGTAATGTATGTGTTGATGATTCGATAGGTTCTAATCAAAGTAATAAGATTTTAAATTAGAAAACAAGAGATACGGGATAACCTTTGTCGACTACTTCTACAACTGCTCATAACATGACTCTCTTATATTTTTTTAATTGTAAATTAGTAGATACTATGAACTTGAATTTATTTGAGAAATTTGATATCATATTAATGAAAATGGTTACTTTAAAATAATATTACTGAAACATAAATGCTTAAGAGATTCTATTAGGTTTTTCTTAAAAAGGAAGAGATGAGTCAAGAATGGTGATGAATTTATGAGAAAAATAAATTTTTAAACATTTAACAAAAGTGTGATATTGTGTCTGAAATATTTTCTTACAATTTTTTACTTGTAAAGCATTTTAAAATATATTATAAAAAAAAAAAAAAAAACCATTTTTACTTTCAACATTTTCTTTCCAGATTTTCCAAGTAAACTACTAAATCATAAATTCGTCTCTGTAATATTAATATATATCATGTATACATTACATATTATGCATATTATGTATAGATGATATAATACTGATATGATTTTCTTATATATATGTTGATAAAAGTCATTTCAGTGTCAACATCTATTCCACCAAATACCCAAAAAATAAAAAATTAGAATAACAATATTTTTTGTATTTATTTTCATTAAATACATAACAATATCTTTAACTTAAAAAATATTTTTATTAAATAAATATTTTAATAATAATTTATAAAAAAATTGTGAATTCGATTCAAACTAAAAACAAAAAAAAAAAATTCCACATTATTTAAAAATTTAAAATTTTCTACCGCCAGAAAAAAATATAACGTCCATAATTAAAAAGAAAAAAAAATAGACCACATAAACTAATATTCCGTATTTTAGATGAACAATAATGCCCTCATATTTCTTACCTTCTTACCATATATTTTGAATCAATAGGAGAATATTTACCGGAATTAATTTAGAAGATAAACATAATAATAATCACAATGCCATATTTTATAACAGTAGAAACAAATAATGACATTTAAATAACACATTCAAATTACTATCATCGTAGGATGTCAAACATTAAACAAAATCAGGGTCCGAACCAAATTAAAACAAAAAATCTTCTCGAGTTGAAAACTAAAGTAACCCATACAACAACATCCTAGGGCTACGGATAGAGCATTTCTACTTAGAAATCAAAGCTTTGGTCGGAGCCACGTAGAAAAAATATGGGTTTCATATTCATGAATCTGCAATTGTAACCTCTACCTCAACACCAGGTTCAATTGTTATGGATGTGATCTGCTTAACCACATCGGGGGAGCTGAAAAGGTCAATGACACGCTTGTGAACGCGTAGCTCAAATCTGTCCCAAGTGTTGGTTCCTACACGGCGTATGAAAACTAATTAAACTGCTCCAAGCGAGTTAACTCTAGATATAAAACCAGAAATAACTTGTAAAATCATCATGTAATCCCAATAGAACTTTCAGTTTTTCCCTGTTTCTAATGTACAATAAAAAGAGAGAGGTTGCTAGCTTGAATTATTTTGATCTATGTCAATATATCACCAAGGCAAAAGGAGATGCCACCACCGCATATAAGGGGAATTTACATGTCAATCATTAAGGCCTCGGTGGAAGTAATCTCCAATTACATCTCTGAGAATCTTTCTATTCCTTTTTCTGAAACATAATAGTCCTATTCCTCTCTATCCAAATAGACCACTTTCAGGGCATAGAATAAAAGTATCAGCAATACACAATCCCAGCCATAATGCAGCAGAACATGAATGAGAAAATCTACATTTGTCATAACAAATTGTACAGGCTCCCTTCATTTAGTGTTATAATGAAAATTTAATTTTATCAACTATGCTAATAAACAACTGAAAAAATCATAAACCACGAAAGAATAAAATATGCCATCGACTTAATTATGTAATGCACAGTGAACCTCAGAATGCCTACGAGAAATATTGAGAACGACAACATGCATGTGTAGACTACCAAGGCTAAAAGAAAAAAGAATCTGGCAAATATATATATATAACTTGGTCAATAAGGCCAAAAAGAAGCAGAACTAACACAGCCAAATGGTTGTACATCAAAATTTTCAGCGGCTTGTATGGCAAGATAGATAGAAGATAAGTACCTTCACCGCAAGGGGATTTGCGGGTGGTAATGTGAAGAACTTTTGTTGGCATTCTCACTGGTCCCTTAACTCGCAACCTTTTATCCTTGGCACCCCGAACCAAGTCAGCACAAACTATTATTGAACAGAAATGCACAATCAGAATAAGTGAAGACCATTGCCACGTATGTTCCAAGTCAAATTAGTCACCATCCTTGATCAAGTTAGCAAATCCAATTGCAAAAAACATCTAGAGAAGCTTGAGAAAATTAAAACGAATCCTCATCACCAGAAAACACAAAATTCACTTTAATCTGTCATATCACATCCAACATGGAAGATAAAAAATCGTGCCATGTAAGGCATAAGATTTAACCGGATGAAGCTTATAACCCACTTAAACTTCAAAAAGCAATATCGCGAAGATGTAATAAGTGAAAGAAAAAGGAACCTTTCTCGAGGTTCTTCACATGCTTGGAAGAAAGAGTGATCCTGATCTTGTGAATCTGCTCCTGAGGTTCCTCCAACCCCGGTTTGGTCGGCTTCATCGCAGCATAAGCCATCTCTACTCGCTTTTCTCTTTCCGCGTACTGTGCACAGCGACCAAATAATAACTCAAAACCATTACCCAGAAACATTCCATAATTACTTACATCAAGAAGCTAAATTTAAGAAATATTCCCATCAGAAAGAGTTAAAGGATGACAATTTTTGTTCTAAAATAAGGTGGCTGACTTTGTACATACTGGGTTTTGTTCATCAAGGAAGATCAAGATAGAAATAAGAAAAAGAACAAAGAAAAGAAAAAACAGAGTATTGACATGCTAACACAAAAATCAAAATATCCAATCCTCAACCATAATGCATATTTCCATACTTAAAAGCAAGTAAGATTCAGAAGGAGTGACCATGACTTTGGGTCTACAGAGAAAATTAAGGATACCTGAAGAGAAGAGATTCTGGAGATGGTTGGGGACGGCTTTGCTCCTGGAGAGAAGAAATATTGGAGTTCGGTTGTTTTATTACTACATTAGGGTTAGGGTTTTTGTTGTTGACGAAGATGGGCGGATCGGGTTGTTTATCCATCATACATTTGGGCTTTTACGGTCCGACCATCTAATTTGGAATTGCATATTATTCTGGCCCAATTTAGTGATTCTGGTCAAACCCCATGCAAGAGACGGTAAAAGATCCAGATATAAATAAAAGCGAGAAAGATATATATATATATATATATGTATGTAACTTTCTTTTTTTTTAATTTCAACTGTTCTGTGTTAATTGCTTTCTGTGACAAAAAGAAATTTAACATACTATATACATACATATATATATATATTAGTAGACATGAGGTAAATTGATTTTTGGAGAAATTGTTTATTCATTTAAAAGAGAAAAGGTGGTCTCAGTGACAAGCCTTAGACATATATCAAAAGACATACTACTAAATTCGATATATATATATATATATATAGATTTAATGGCTCCGACCCAATACTTATCAGAATAAAATATAAGATTTCAGATTCATTTTTGTACTAGAAATAAATATCTATATTTATACATACATATATGGAATTCTTTGTATTAAGAAATATTGTAAATTTAAAAGTTGTATATAGAGTTTATATACAAATACTGTCTCTTATCCTCTGCTGTATGATTCCCCTTAAATCAAATAATTCAATTGAACGTCATATAAATTAATTTCACAATTAAGAAAAAAAAAAAAGAAAAATACTTGAAATTTCTGCAATTAATTTACTCTGCACAATCTTACTTTGGGTTGAATATAAAAACTAAATTGTAATTAAAATTAATGAACATGAGATTTTTAAAAAATATTATTATTATCATTATTATTATTATGACTGATAAATTTTAAAAGAAAAAAAACAAAACAAAAGAGGAAGTCCCAAGAGGTTAACAAAGAGCTTTGGCTGCTTGAACCACAGCTTCCACTGTAAGTCCAAGCTCCTTGTATATCCTTCCAGCAGGTGCACTCACTCCAAATTGATCAATCCCGATTGCCTTCCCCTTTGGTCCAACAATCTTTCCCCACCCAAATGTTGACCCCGCCTCAATGCTCACTCTACCTGCTACACCAGCCGGCAGGACACTTTCCTTATATGCATCACATTGCTCGTTGAACAACTCCCACGAAACTAACGACACCACTCGAACACTTTTCCCTTCTTTTCGTAGCTCATCGCCAGCCTTGGCTGCTATCTCCAGTTCAGACCCAGTTCCTATAAGGATAACATCGGGTTTGTTGCTCGATGAATTGTCCGAAATGATGTACCCTCCTCTTGCAACCAAGTCTATGGATGTCCCGGGGAGATGAGGAAGCTTTTGGCGAGAAAGAGCAAGAATTGAAGGTCTTTTCTTATTGAGAATTGCCACTTTGTATGCACCGGCTGTCTCGTTTCCATCTGCTGGACGGAGCATTAGGACGTTTGGCATGGCTCGGAAACTGGCTAAATGCTCAATAGGTTGATGTGTTGGTCCATCTTCCCCAAGGCCAATTGAATCATGTGTCATTACGTATATAACTCTAGCTTCAGAAAGAGCGGCAAGTCTTATGGCTGCTCTCATGTAGTCAGTGAAAACAAAGAAGGTTGCACAGTAAGGAATAAGTCCAGGACTATGAAGTGCAATCCCAGTACATATGGCACCCATTCCATGCTCCCTGACACCAAATCGAAGATTACGTTCTTCGGGTGTGTCCTTCCCCAAATTGCCAAACATCTTCAATAGTGTCATGTTGGAGGAAGCAAGATCTGCACTCCCACCTAGAAATCCAGGAAGAACTTTAACCAGAGAGTTAAGGCATTGCTGAGACAAGTTCCGGGTAGCATCAGCGGGACTTTCTGACGTATAACTCTGAGGAATTAAAGATGTGATCAAATATAATTTCCTATCTAAATTATTAAAATCAAGAATCAGGCACAACAACAAGATAGCTAACGGGCGAAACATCACTAACCGGAAGTGTTTTATCCCATCTATCAGGCAATTCGCCAGTAATAAGCGACCTTAGTTCTGCTGCTGCTTCTCTATATTTCTTCTCATATTCCATGAATTTGGCATTCCATTCAGCTTCCAGAGCAGCACCTTGAGGAACATGGCGGTTCCAATGCCTGCAAAACATGATAATTTATATAATACTACAAGTAGATCTTAAAGACATGAAGGTAAGCAATAGTTTTAGTTACAGTACTTTCTAACATCCGCCGGGACATGAAATGGATCATGTTGCCACCAGAGGTTCTTTCTTGTCGCATCTACTTCTTTTGCACCCAATGCACTCCCATGGACGCTATGCGAGTTCGCTTTGTTAGGAGATCCATAACCAATAGTCGTAGTCACCTATACCAAGAACAAGATAAACCAAGAAAGACACATATCAACCATAGATGTTAATGACCAACAATTTCAAATTCTTATTACATAAAATCCATGGAAGTTAAACCTTAATCAATGTAGGTTTATCTTTTACAGCCTTTGCTTCCTTTATGGCAGCACGAATGTCATCGTACCCAGTATTACCATTCTTCACCCAAATAACATGCCAGCCAAGTGCCTCGTATCTAGCCTCAACAGTTTCTGTGAATGCAATTTCGGTATTGCCATCGATGGAGATGTGGTTGTCATCATAGAAAGCAATCAACTTTCCAAGGCCCCAGTGTCCCGCAAGGGAACAAGCTTCATTTGTAACCCCTTCCATTTGACAACCATCTCCGAGTATCACATAACTAAAACAATCCCAGAAGTCTCAAAGAAATTAACAGCTGAGATGATTATCACACGCTGTAGACCCAGAAAATATAATATAGACTATACATGTTGTAAGTATATTTACGTGTAATGATCAACGATCTCAATGTCAGGTTTGTTGTATCGAGCAGCTAAATGCTTCTCTGCAAGAGCCAAACCAACAGCATTTGCAATTCCTTGGCCAAGAGGGCCTATAATTAAACATAATTATATCAACTATAATTATAAGTCCTTCAAAGTTTAGATTAACTAATCTGATCAAGATCAATAAGAAAAAAGGGTTTTTAGTGTACATAACCAGTAGTGACTTCAACCCCAGGTGTCTCAAAGTTCTCAGGGTGACCAGGAGTTTTGCTTCTCCATTGCCGAAAGCTCTTCAGATCTTCATCCTAATAAACCCATTTCAGAATAACAATTACCCCAGAAAATGAAGAAGAAAATTCAAAGATCAAATAGTAAAATAAATGAAGTACCTTTACACTATCAAACGCAGCAAGGTGAAGCAGAGCATACTGCAACATGCACCCGTGCCCGGCAGATAAAACGAACCGATCACGATTGAACCAATACGGATTCTTAGGGTTATACCTCATCACCTCGTCGTACAGTACGTGGCCAATCGGGGCACAGCCCATCGGCAGACCCGGATGACCCGAATTCGCTTTCTCCACCGCATCTATCGCCAGGAAGCGTATTGTATTCACCGATTTCTCCACCAATGTCTCATCGGTCTCCTCCGGAATCTTCACCGCCGCGGCCTTAACGGCAGACCGGGATGATTTCACACTCCACCGTCGTGTGCATGTGCGGGAAGAGAAGGAAGGCCTGGTTGATGAAACGAAAGAGGCACCATCTAGGTTTGTCCCAATTGAGGAGTTACATTGGTTAGAGCGAGATAGTAGAGATTGAGAGAGAGAAAATGCGGAAGCCGCCATCGCTGGACAGAGAGAAGGATGTAATAGGAAAGGAGAAAGAAGGAATTAATTTACGTCAGATGACAGAGTAAATTAAGAGACTTAGAAGGAGAGAAAGAAGGGTTCTACGTCAGTCGGTTGAACATTGAATTCTCCGCCTTCGTGTTCGTTGCCACGAAGAAAGCCGCTGTTGGCGCCTTCCATAACCAGAAGAAGCTTTTACAATTCTCCGTGCAGAAAATTACAAATCTCATTTGTTTTTTCCTTTTTCTGCGTCCTTCGAAGTGAAGTGGGCTGTTTTGGGCCCTCTTCTTCATTGTCCGACTGAAATTTACAGATAAACCTAGTTAAATTGGGCTAGTATTAGGATTTGGGCCTAGCCATGGCTCATGAAGATTTTCTTTTTTTGTTTTTTTTAACCTTGATATGACTGGTAAATTTCACGGACTTTCCCTATTTTAGGGTTGACCGAAACCAAGTTTAGGAGTAAAGATGAAGCTTGACGAAGATAAGGTCTAATCAAATCAAGTGACAGAGAAAACGAATCAAAATATCGTTTTCAGTGTAATCCTTTCAATCATTCATGTCTTAGTTTACGTCCGCATTTAAATTACATTTTTATCCTATTAAATTTACCAAAATTTACCTTTTAAAATTAAAAAGAAAATATTATATCTTTTATACATTGCCATAAAGAAAATAGTTTATAAAAGTATAAAATAATTTAAGAAATAGAAAATTGTTTAATACAATATAAATAAATATATTATAAGAAAAAAAAATGTAATTTATCATTATATATAATAAAATAGAGTGATATAATTAAAAAGTTGAGTTTTTGAGCGTGAAGTAAAATCATGGGTGTGGGTTCTTTCGGTTCTTTTTCGTGTACATAATTATGGGGTTGGTCTCTTTTGTGTCATTCAATTGAATGATAATCATTTCGTGGGTAAGGAAAAGGTTTTGTTAAAAAAATTATTGTTCCACAATTTTAGCCTTTTTCCCATATGTATTATTTTGTTTACAAATTACAAATATAACTATATTATATATCTATATATCTATCTATTTATATATATATATATATCTATATATATTCATTGCTGATTCCTGTTCTAGGTTATCATCATCATTCATGTGGTTATGATGATAAATTATACGTACCAAAAAGAAATGTTGCAATTATGGTAACATATTCATCTTGGTAATGTTTTTGAAAAAAAAAAAAAATTTATCGAATTACATGTAATTTTTTGCGGAGTAGGAGAAAATTTTGTTTTCTTTTTCATAAAAACATAAAGAAATAGATTCAACATAAGAGATGAAGAAAAAATACTATTCAAAATATTGCATAGTGTCCGACATTTTTTTTTATCTAAATTCATTTAATTTAATCGAATTGAACATTATCAACTTTGTAAGCTGACTCGGATATTGGTGTATTTACTTGTAATAATTGAATTCCTCGTGGTAGATAGTTACAACAATTTCACAACTATGAATCGGATAAACTATTTCTTACATATATAATCATTGATATATATTTATATTAATAAATTGTATTTTCAACAAAAAGAAGATCATTATGTAATGTTGAATAATTATTATATAAAATTACTTAGTACTTAAAACATTGATGTTTCTATTAAATTTTTTTAATAGTTCAATAATATTATGTAACGATATTTTAATATTGTGTAGCAATTTAATATGTCCTACAATATTAATAATTATGACATAGAATTAGTAGATACTTTAAAGATTATCTAGTACTTGATTAAAACTTATCATGTTTCTATTAATAAATTAATATTACTTAATTATTTAATTTATAGAACTTATAACTCACATACTTGATGCATTATTTACATAACTTCTTTCGTATTTTATTAATACTGTCCATCTTTATACTTTGATTATAGAAGTTCGTATATATTACATGATTTATAAAATGAATGTATTTTTACTAAAAAATTAGATATATCATGTACTTATAATATTTTAACTAATTAATTATTTATTTATTATCTGAATGTTAGGTTTTAAATTTACGATGTGAATTTATATGTGTAACTTACTATGTGTAAAATGTTATCAAATTAATTATATCTGGTTAAAAAGTAATTTGATACGATTAATGGAATATTAGGTTTTAATACATCAAATTAAAGTATGAACTTTAATTTTATATGTAGGGATCAAATATATAATTTTTAATTTTGTAATAGATCAAATTATGAATATAAAAAATTCTCATATAAAGTTTGTCAATAAATAAATGAATATGGTCCTCAAATTATGTGTAAGATTTATCTATTGCGATATCTTATCGCGAGAAATAGAGAGAACGTGAGAATTCAAAAAATTACGTATTAATTTAAAAAATCTACCGCAAGACGTGCAAATTTATTCTTCAGTTATGAATTTAAATACGTTTCCGTTACAGATATAATTTTTTTTATTAGATATAAGTTTTGCTTATTTAGATTTTATATATAGTTTCGAAATCTCTACACAAAAATCGACCAAGTATAAGCTTGAAAAATATTTGCTGTTAAAATTTTGATAAATTTTAATTAGGCTTTGGCTCCACACTTACTCAAGTTATACTTTCAGATAAATATATAATATTTCCTATTGTTTAATGTATGTATACATGTAAAATCATGTTGGACAGTCACGGGTCGGTAGCTTAATTAATTAGCTACACCTGATACCTGTATTTAAAATTAACCGAAGGTTAACGTCATTAATTGTCGTTGAATATATACTGCCGATGAATTAAGATGTTAACCACCGGAAATAATACGCTAATTAAGGACACTAATTAACCCAAGTCGTTCGTCATATTTATATTATAGACAAAGAAAATATAATATAATTTTCAGTGTCTTTACTGTGATTGATATTTTAATATTCTCAAGTCAAGACTTGAATAATTGAACTTTGGCTCTTGCTCCCTTTACCAAGAGACACATATATACTCTCGTGATTATAACCATACGTATATCTCTATATATATATATATATATATTGGGTAATTGTTATGTTTTCTTCTTCATTTGTATGAGTTGGGTGTAACAATAGTTTTATTAGTTACATTAGTTTATGATTAATTGCTAGTTAGTGTAATTAGTAATAAATTTATAATTAATAGTTATTTATTTTTATAAACACTTTATATCTCTTATTAATGAAAATCACTTTATTTTATTTTTTAAAGTTATCTGTTAATATCTTTTTCTCAGCTACACATTTTCTTTTTTTTTTATTATCGAATATTATCGAGCATTCTTTTTCTTTTTATTTGTTTTTATAAATCTCTCTCAATTTTTTATTTTATTTTTTCATACGTGATTAATTACAAATTATTTGTAAAATATAATATAAGTCAAATTAAAAATTCTGAATTGTAATAAGATTAACCCGGCTAGAATATCAAGATTTCAATTGATCAAATATCGTAATTTAATTTGAATTTTAATACGGAGACCTATGAAAATTAAAGAAGCTAACATATTGAAGAGCAATCTCCATAGATGCATGATATTAAGATCGTGTGGACCATTCAAAAAGGAATTGAAAATAGCAAAGCTGTAAAATATCTACTTTAATGGCTAATGTAAAGGTCCTTCTCCATACTTTCTTTACGTAGAAGATGACAGCCTAAAACCCTAAAGAAGGGTACGTACCCTTCATAGATCTCTCCACCTATTCCCTCTCTCTCTCTCTCTCCCTCTCTTATAATTAGAGAGAGAGAGATAGAGAGAGTACTTTCATGGTGTAAATATTCTCTTATATCTATTTTATTTACCTGGCAAATATAGTGTGATCCCCATCTATAAATACACTAATAGCACCCAGTAATAATGGTATGTCCTTTCACACGTGTTCCAAATTTTAACTCATTTTCCAAATTGATATTACATATATGTATATGTTATAAACACCATAGTATATGTAAATGGGCCAATTTGCTTAGACCTAACCAGGTGTACATATAAATACTGTTATACGTACGTAGGGATCAAATCAATTATTATTACGTTTCGTACATACATTAATGTATTAGTATATAAACGTTATATTATATACGTAGTTGTACGTGGGACTGCTACATATGGACGTACATATAGTAATAATACAGTGTGTGTGTGTGTAAAAAATAATATGGTTTTTTATTCAAAAAATAATAATAATGTGGGTCCAAATTTGGACACGTGTGATCGAGTTTGGTCATTGGATTTTTTTTTTTTTTTTAAGTACTGAAGGGTTATAATTTTGGTTTTTTTTCCGATTCGAAGGATTTAGTCCGTATTAAGTAAAAGATTAAGGATTAATAATTTCTAATTTCCTAATTAACACGTTTCGCTATCATAATTATCCAACGCCAGGAGGATGATAACTCTATGCTGATGTGAACTCTCTTTTGTCTTTTTCTGCATGCCAAGTAGCTTGTCCTGAGTGGAGATATGGCCCACTTTCCTTAATGTTTCCCCCACCAGTCTCCGACCGAGCGTGTGCACACGCGAACATCTCTGCGCTTCTTCGTATCCTCGTGTAACCCAATGAGCCGTCAGAGTCCCCAAAGTTCGCGCAACGTTGTCTCGCCGAGAAGAGGAGAGAATCGTCGTTACTCGGGTGAAGGATCTGAGGGATGTCAGGCGGAGGCACGCGTGTGTAGACGCGCAGAAAGAGGAAGGTGACCTCACGGCTAAAAGGCGTAGGGTGGTGGGGCCCAAACCTGAACTGAGGGCCTTTGTTTTCTCTTACAGTTCTTGTTCACTTTGCTGTTCGTTGTCTGGGTGGGGTCCACATCTATCTCCCCGAAAACAAAAGACTGTGGGTCCCACGACATCTATCGCCTTCAATCTCAGCTGTTCGATTGCTGCTGGCTCCTTCTTTTATAAATTTATAATTTTATTTTTGGGTTTTCTGAATTATCCGTCATGATTTGTAGCCGCGCAATTTACTCCGTGATTGGGTGCACCCATTCCCCATTCCTCTCAGGTTACTCCCTTCACAGAGAAAATGATTGTCTGCCACACCCTCCATATTTCTAATGGTGCACTGACCATTTAAATTGAATTCTAATTTTGAAATTTCACTAAATTTTGTAAAATGTGTAAATAGAGTTTTAAAGTTTTTTTAAAAAATATTATGAAAAATGTTTTATTCCCTTTTTATGTTTTTTTTTTTTGCAAGTGCAATGATTCAATAAAATAATAATATTATTCATAATTGCAAACATCAACTCATGCATAGTGAAATTTGTTTTAGAAATAAGTAAATATAATATATTTATTACAAATTAATAAAGTTGAAGAAAAGTGGTAATAAGATAAATAAATTTTACTTTTTACCGACTTAAATTTAACTTTTTGGAATTGCAATGCAGTATTAAATATTATTCCTTTTTAATTTGTAACACACTCACATCAAATAAATATTAATTGTGTGACTCCACGAATATAATGTTTTCCGGCGACCAACTTTATAATAATTTCGAATGACGCCGTTTTGTTCGGTGCAAACAAACATACGGAGACAAATTGAAAATATTCAAACATAAACCGTCGCTATGAAATAAAAATAAAAAAATCTAAAATATTTATTATTATTAAAATAAAAATATATTGTTTAGTAATATTGGTTAAAAAAATAATAATATGAATATTTTATTTTTATTAATTAATCTTATTGTAAATTGAAATAAAAACACACTTCATAGGTACGCTATTCCATACATTAAAAGACAAACATAAAAAGGATCCAGCATTACCAAAGTTGTAAATACTACATTTCAGATTTCAGAGCGCCTCCTTGTTTGGCCAATGCCTACGCTGTCTATTTACTAGACACTTAAATCCAAATTTAAAAGTGTGGTGGAGTGTGAAAAGTCAACAATGCCCTTATTTCAAATATTGTCCTCAAATAACAAGACAGCCAAAATGGTCCCAGTCTTGCGATGCGTATTTTAATTTCTCCAAAAAGATAAGGGTATTTCCGTAATTTTAATATCAATAATTTCATAACGTCAAAACAATGTAAAATTTTATATTTTATTTATAATTTGAAGTAATATTCAACAAACTAGGGTCCGTGGTCCCTTTAAAATCAAGGGTTACAAGCAAACTTCCAAAGTGAAATTCCGAATTTACCCTTACTGAGTTTCCAGCATTACCATTTTCCCGCGCAAGTGGAAATAACAATTAGCTAAAACCTGAAAAGGTTACTGAGATGAGATTAGATGAGGACGACCATCATCATGATGATCATGATGCTCCTGCTCTTCCCTTTCTGACCTTAGGGACCCCACTTCTTCACCTTCCTCCTCTTCACTTTAAAATCTGTCTGTCTCCCATTACCCGCAAATCAATGCTCCATATATATAAAAACTGTTTTTTTTTTTAAGAAAAAACCCAGGAAAAAGAGAAAATTCTCAGACAAATTCAAATATATTATAATTAAATTCCTTCTATATATATATGCCTCTTTGTATTTCAAAACCCAACACTCTGCCATTTCATTTCAAATTTGCTAAAACCCAAGCCACTGAGATGACGAGGGAGTGTGCCCGTCGGTACCCGGAATTCCCGGTTCCTGTGCTGCTTGGACTCACCGTAATTACCATACTCCTCTCTTCGTTCTCTCCGGTCGTGGGCTCACGTCCATGGTCCCACATCAAAGAAACCAATGGCTCTGATCTAATCTTTGGCGGGTCCAAGAAGTACGAGGGCTCATCGGAGTTCGTTCATTTACGTTACCACATGGGTCCCGTCCTCACCGCCAACATCACTGTACATATAATCTGGTACGGCACGTGGCAGAAGAACCAGAAGAAGATCATCCGCGAGTTCGTAAACTCAATCTCCGCCGTCGATGCTAGACACCCTTCCGTTTCCGGTTGGTGGAAGACCGTACAGCTCTACACGGACCAGACAGGTGCGAACATTTCCCGTACGGTGCGTTTAGGGGAAGAAAAGAACGACCGGTTTTACTCCCACGGCAAGTCCCTCACGCGCCTCTCCATACAGTCTGTGATAAAAAGCGCCGTGACGGCCCGGTCAAGACCGTTACCGATAAACCCCAAAAGTGGGCTCTACCTCTTGCTGACATCCGATGACGTGTACGTCCAGGATTTTTGCCGTTCCGTCTGTGGGTTCCACTACTTCACCTTCCCTTCCATCGTGGGTTACACGTTGCCGTACGCATGGATAGGGAACTCCGCCAAACTCTGCCCGGGCCAGTGCGCGTACCCCTTCGCCGTACCGGATATCCTCCCGGGACTGAAGCCGCTAAAGTCACCCAACGGTGACATAGGGGTTGACGGAATGATAAGCGTTATTGGTCACGAGATGGCTGAGCTGGCAACAAACCCATTGGTTAACGCTTGGTATGCGGGTCCTGACCCGGTGGCTCCGGTGGAAATAGCCGATTTATGCGAGGGCATTTACGGTACTGGAGGGGGCGGGTCTTACATGGGTCAACTCTTGAACGATCACGATGGTGCTACGTATAACATGAATGGGATCAGACGGAGATACTTGATTCAGTGGATATGGAACCATATAGTGAATTACTGCACTGGCCCTAATGCACTTGATCAGTAATTTTTTGTTTTGGGTTGAATTTTTTTTTTTTTTTACTCTTGCTTTTTGGGGCTGTTACTAGAAATGGCAGGGTTTGTGGAGCTTTTGGATGCATATGATTAGTTAAAACTAGTTAACGTTGTTAAATATGTAATAATTAATCGTATACTGTTTCTGTATACAAATAGATTGTGATTCCCGCCAGCTTTCAAGTGAAATTAGGTGTTATTGTAAGTTTTTTATTTAGTGATAATGAAGATATCTTCTTGCCGGAGCTTTTAAAAGAACATATTTATACACACACAGACACCCATATATATATATATATGTATATAGAAAACTGACCCATAATGAAGGTGGCATGGTTTGTGGGTGGCTGAGTTAGATGATTGTATTGAATGCGGGTTTTAGATGTTATTTACTGAATTTTTTGAAAGGTGTAGATTTGAAATTGTCATCACCCATTTTGATGTATAATCACTTGATGCTCGTGAATAAACCAAATTCTCGAGATGTTACTTTCGAGCTCTTTAATTTATTTAAATTCCTTTTTAATGGTGCTCGTTTAAGAAATACAAAGCTCTTCTCTGCATGGTGCACATTTTGGGAATAAGACTTTGATGTGAAAATTTATCCTTGCTATTATTTAAAAATGTATTTATGCAATTATTTTAATTAATAATAGCATAATTTTTAAATAAATAAATATATATATATATATAATATAGCCATTTTGGATTTAAATTTAAAAAAATATATATAAATATTAACACATCTAAGTAATGGTCTATAGATTCCATATAAAAGTAGTGGAAGAACAATAGACATGCATCAAAATGGATAATTAATTCTAAGAACATTATTATTATTATTATTATTTTTTGCTGAAATAATAATTTAGATTTTATGTTATTTATTTTTATTTAAATTAATTTTTGATTAAATTAGTTTTTTTATTTTTTATTTTTTTTTTATTTTAATAGAAATTAATGTTGTTAACTTAAAATGTTGGTTGAATGTCACGTGATATACAACACAATATCTTATATGTTATTAAAAAAATTAATTTATAAATTTGATTAGTACTCAAACTAATAGGAATGTACTATGTATAAATAAATTTGATATGTATAACTATAAACTAATAGTGTTAAGTCTTATTAATGGTAAATACTAAATTAATTTTTTTTTTAAATATAAGGATTAATTTAATCAAAAATTAAAATATAAACTAGTTTAAATAAAAATAAATAATATATAAATTAAATCATTATTTTAATATTTTCTATTTGAATTATCACTTCTCAATAATATCTTAATAGTTAAATTTTAAGATAAAATAATGTTAGTGCAATTATAAAATATTATATCCTTGAAATACATATAAAAGATGAAAGGCCAACAACAATCACAAAAAAATTAGCTTAAAATTGAACAAGAGGTGAAATATATGAAATATTAATATTGCATGCAGTTAAAGTTCATTATTTCATAATTGATTTCTTATTTATTAATTAATTAATATGTAATAATAATTCATATATTTGAATGTATAAATAAATATGTTTTATTTAATTGAATAATTGATAAGTTATTTTTTTAATAAAAAATTATGATAGTTGGAGTTTGATTGTGTTTTTATATGTGTGCTCTTATAAAAATTATTTTTAATTATATTACGATTGATATATATATATTTATTTTATTAATAAATATATAAAAATATAATTTATTTAAATTCACAATTATAAATTTATATTATCATCTATCAACAAAATAATTATAAAAAAGCAGATTTGAATCCCATGTATATTTTCGTTAATTGAGAGGTTAGGAAATTCGCAGAAGATTGATTCTTGAACAACAAGATTCCTCTTTCTTCTCCTCCAAGAACATCATGCAGGGAATGGCGTCCTTGTCAAACTGAGAGTCACACTGTGTGCTCCAGTTTTTACCCAGTTAAGTTCATCAAACTCAGGCCCCACCTTTGCCCTTTTCCTAAGGAACTTTATTGGGATTTTCGCCGTGAGGCTTATCATTTATGGGTTATGATTATTACTTATAAAAAAACTTTATATATATATATATATATATATATTTTTCTAACCTATCATTATTACTTTATTAAAAGCGACAAATTTTGATTACGAACTCAAAAAACAAAATAAAGGTTACCTAGCCTAGCCATTAGAATGCTGAAGTTCTTTCTTTCCCCCTCGTTTGAGTTAAACTCACGAGTCCCTTGTGTCTTCTTCACGTTCAATTAAGAACAACACCACCCACTAATGTTATCACAAAGATTAGCTTTCTGGGTACTAAAGAGCTCATTGATTTAGAAAATGTTATCACAAACAAACATTTAGTTCATATCGTAGTATAAGGTTTTCTAATTGAAGGGCAAGCTTCAAGTAGATGCAGAACTGAGGAGAGAAGAGTCTTTTAGCTAACATTTTCACTTTTCTTTACTGGGTATATTTTGGATTTTTGAATGGGAATCTGACGTTTGGTTTTTTCTTCTTTGAGAAGTTGAGAATGAAAAAATATCAAGCGGAAGCCAGCTGGCTAGCATTTTTTTGTTTGAGCAATCAAGTCTGCAAAAAGATACATTTGACCGCAACTGATGGCTTGTGTATGTATAATGTAAGACAGTACTGAGAGTAGGTATAGTCCTGTTAAATGATCAATAAACTAGCATTTCGTAGACGCAAATGAGCTTCAGAAAATTATATATGTGGCCGTAAAAAAGGCACTAGCGGCGCCTGGCCTGCTGCATTTCTCGTTCTTTTTTTGACTCGGAAAGAATTTGGTGAATAGAAAATAACCTGTGATTCATGCTTTTGTCTCTCCTAATCAAAATTTCTAGGCATGACTATCATAGAGTATCTATCATATTCTTTTCCCTTTTTCTTGGTCCCCCCCCATTAGCCTCTGCAGATCATCTATGACTTCTTCATCCCAGGCCTGCGGTCAGTGACCTAGATTTATAATCTAGCTAAAGGATAAACTGCAAGTTTCTTACATAATCTTTTATATTTCAATTTAAGATTCTAAATAAAGTCACCATATAAAATTCCTAAGTGCAATGTTTTTTTTCTTCGCTTAGATCATGTGACACAAGCATAATAGGTGAAAGATTCACTCAGCCACAAACACCGAAAGCAAATCAAAGACTTTTTTGCAGTAACTAAGAAGTTTAGACATCCCATATCCGTAGACAGAATGGACAGACTGGTCTCCTGGACCCATTATATCATCGCGGGCTGCACCACAGTGGCGTAAACCTCAGACAACCTCAATAATTATTTGTTTATAGATCCCTACGACACTGTTTAAACTCATTTTACGGGACACTAGTTGTTTGTTTTGCTCTACGTCTTCGTAAGGTGTTTGTGAGGGTTATGCATTTATATATGGTTCAATAATATGGGTAAGATGGGCTTGCAGATTGGTGTCCCAAATCATAATGAGGGCAGGTTAATTAGAAAAGTCGTTCATCCACATGCTTTAGTTGGCTTTCCATGGCCTTGTTGTTGAGTTGTTGCTGCCCTAATTTTGCTTTCCCTTTTCTAGCCTTTGTGGATAAAGTAAGTACCTGCAGGCTGTTCATGCAGCATCTGTTAATTGTTAGCTCTTTCTCAAGATTAATGAATTCCAAAAAGAAAAACAGAAGGGAAAATAAATGCAAAGACTTGAAAGAGTTTGTTGCAAATTGATTGACAATTAATAAAGGAAGAGAGAGGATGAGGGGACCTCTAAAATATGGTCATTGCTCCCATCTAGTTTTCACGCAAGTTTCATGAAACATACAGTGAGCTGACATGGAATGAACAGGAAAATTGGGTACCACCTATCACGCGTTGAACTAATGATTGGCTGATTCTAAAAAGTGATTCTGAGATCTTCTCTAAGGACAAGAGTAGGTATGCATGACCTTTGACAATCGAAAGAGTAGTTTGAATTAATCTGTTTAGTTGACTGACGGTCTGAAAACAACAACGTTACAGGTTTATACAATTGCTAAACTAAATGCCATAAGACATGATATTATATATATATATATCCCTACAGTGTATATAAATCTCAAGATCCAAGTTATATTCATTTCTTTTATTTCCAATCAATAAATTATCATCAACCTGCTATATATCCAAGTTCATAAATTTATTTACATCTTTTTTTTTTTTTAATTTTCACATCCTCTATTTTCATTCCAGAGCCTTCGATCAAAAGAAAATCATCCCTCCACTTACCATTAGTCGGTGGCCTTTAATGCTCATCTCCAAAACTATTTGACAAATCACTTTCTTCCATAATGTTCTCGGCCGATGTTACTCTGAATAATGCACCCGCTCAAGTCAAAGTCATTAGGTGGAAATGAACCCTACATTCTTCTCTCTGGGCATGTGTCTTGGAAAGAAAATATTAACCCCGTGAGTAGAGCAGACCCTACTGATTTCCAAATGCATGAACGTATAGGTAACTTAAAGAGGAATCTTTGCCCTAAAATCCAATTAAGAATTTCAGAATATATGATCATGAATCATAAAAGCAGTTAAGTGAGGTCAGATAAGTAAGTTTCCAACCACATATGTAACCATTTACCATGGCTGTGGAAGGAGATGTTATTGCATGGTCTTGGCTTACAGTAATCTGGTTAATCGGATCATTAAGATGGTAAAGAAAATTACCTTTGTGTTTCCGATTAACTTTTGGGCTGAACCAATTATTTTGTAGGCCAACATTGTTCCGTATAATCCAGGTCCATACAGTGTCTCTCCTGTAATCGTCTGCTTGTTCATCAAATTTCAGAGCATGAGTATAGAATTCACAGAGAGCATAACTGTACTTGATATATAAGAATCATAAGATTACGGTGCCTGAAAGACTTTAAAGACACACTTCTAAGTAAGAAGAAGTTAAGATATGAGAAAAAACTCCACTAAAAATAACCATCTTTCACCAGAAAGAAAGAGTTAAACTTCACTTCAAAGTTAAGCAGGCTTGCAAGTTGCAACAGTGTAAGAATAAAACTTATGCAAGCTCATCAAGATAAAAGATAGGAGCCGTATTCATCAATTATAACTACGTAATGCAGCAATCTCATCTGTATATTTAACTGTTGCTAGATCGAGAACATAACAAGTGCAAGGAATCTCTCAACTGCCATAGGCATAGCAGAAAGAGATCATGGAGAGAAAAATAGGCAAATGCGAATTTGGTAATTGGACAAATCTTTGTCTGGGTGTATGTTTTTATATTTTCTCAAATTATTCTCATTATACAAGAATCAACCAGTAGCTAACAAAGAAAGAAATCTTTTTCCCTTGGAAATTAATAAAGAAAAAATTTTCATGCTACAGATTGGTTGCAGTTTGAAAGACGTTTAAGACAGTGAGAATGAAAATTCTATGACCACTTTGGATTCAGGAAGAATGAGATACTCAAATATTCATAAACCATCTTTCTCAAGAATTTCACTTTGATAGCATAGGGCATTCTGCAACTTCATACCACGATAACCATTTATAAAATGCAATTTCAAATTTCACATGCATAACTTATTTCTATTTTATAGAAAATGATAATATGCTAATCAACACTGAGAAAACTAGATGGATAAGTACACAATTCAACCTCCTTGGAGGAAGAACTGAAGCTTTAACTGACTCTGCCCATGCTTAATTTTCAACTAATGGCATATAAGCTCTCAGACTAGAGTTACTCTCACCATGGTACACTGGTAAAGAATGAACTATTATCGTAGGATTCATTTAGAAACACATGCTTAATTCATGCATACTAGGATCAAAATTCAACTAACAAACAATGAAAATTCTAATCCAAATGAATTCCAAGTGGAGTCACTAGGAGATGAATTTTTGTAATTTCCTGGTTGAAAAATGAATGAAAATAACTAACTTGTTTCAAATATTCCCTACAATAAACAATCTATAAATGGCGAACCACTACCAGAAGCTTTTTCTAATTATAAGCAGTAAGTTCTTCTTATCAAGCAAAATCCGCAACTGCTGATCTTTCCTTGAGGAAGTTTGTAAATAAAGTAAGAAGAGTCAAGACTTCTTGGGTTTTGTATGATTGTAATTGTCCGTTCATGGCCTTCATTACCCACACACATATATAGTAAAAAAACCTCCAGCACAGTTCATTTTTCTTTGATCTTGAAAAGGGCATTTACTATCAGAAAATGAACAAATTCATCCTTTACATAAAATATGGATAAATTTGTGTAAATATCCGTTGCATTATTATGTTTTCAAACTTTACCACCTTTCCTTCATACGGTTATAATTTTCAAGAGTAAGTTTTCGGTTGATTGAATTTCAATTCTACAACTAGTTCATTGTCAAGCATAATTTATCTGAACAAGTTATCAGCAGAAGTTGAGTTCATACCTCAACATAAGGCCCTAGTTTTTTTTTTAAAAAATCAAATGCCCCTTCCTGGAACTATCTGAGTTGCCTGCAAACTCGCAGATTTCCAGATGGAAGACGAATTTCAAACATCAGGATTCAGTTCTAACAGAACAATGCAGCATGAAATGAATTACTAAAAAAGGCAAATTATTATTGCACTGGAAACTATTCAATAACTGGACTGTCTTAAAGGAAAAACACAAGTTTGCAGCAAAACATGATTTCACCAATAGTATATCCATAGAAAAAAAGGAAACAGAAAGAAAGAAACTTCAAGAAACAACAATGTTGTAAATACCCATCACTTGACTGAAGAAATAGACAATACATTGGAAACGGTAAAAAAAAGCAACTTATGCCTTATTTCCATCATTCAAATTAACATAGATAAGAAGAGAAAGGTGATTGGACACTCCATCTTGCACATCCACATAAGAAAAAATTTGACAGCAACGGATCCAGAAAGGAATATAGATGCGTTTGGGTGGATCTGAACAAAGAGTATTTAAAAAAAAAGGATCAATATCCTTACTTCAAGAAAGATCAAGATTGCCCAGTCACTCAGTATCTCTCTCAAATCATTCAGATAACAAGATCACCAAATTTCTATAACTTACTTCAAGATAATGCATAAATAGATAACTAAACCTTACCCTGCTTCCCTGAAGAGTTTTTAAATTAGGGAATGACACATGGAAGACATATGAAAGCTGACTGAGTATATTGTGATCTGTCATAGTTCCATACAGCTATTTTCACTAGACAATGTGCTGCCAGAAGGACTCATAACAAAGAATAATCCCTCTCAAAAAAATATTTTGCCTCTTGTCATTTCATACATTTTTCTCTTTGCAAGAGATGCTGTAAATGATGTACATCCTAAGAAATATGCGAGAGCTCACTCAGCTTCCGAAACTATTTTATCTTACTAGCCGGAACCATCTGACTTATACCCATGGTATATCAACTTTGTCCTTTAAGGTTCTCATTCTGTAGATACTTCAATACTCCATATACAACTGTTCCAGCAACAAATAGGGCAACTGTTGGGGTGAATGATGGGTATAGATACTTGACGAAGAATTTATCCCATTCTTCTGGAAGAAAGCCTGTAAACGAGGTAATAAATCATAATTCAGGAGTGACAGAAATCATTTACATTGTAGCATATGAAGAAAATAAAAGCGAATTATTCATACTATAAAATTAGCCTGCTTTACATGTTCACTCCTGCTTTTACGGGGTACAACTGAACTTCCTCCAGCCAATACCCAAAAAGACAATTTGATGTAACTTAAGAATTCAAAAACTTGTTTATCTATTTAACTTATAACTGAAGCTTTATGCTTTATCCATGATTTCATTATAGGCCAGTAAACAAGCTAATCAATCAAGCAGCAGCTACATCATGGTTTAACCTAATCACAGAAAACTCAGCCGAAACTCAAATTGACTTCAAGTTTACCAAATCCAAACATTTCTTCTCACGAATTGAAGCAAAAATTGAAAAATTCTCGTACATCAAATGCTCAATATCTCATCTCCCAAAACCAACATCCAATTTTTTCCCTCAGACAAACAGCAATGCTGTATTCACTAAAGGAATGCATAAATGTAGTAATTAACAAGCAATCAAGAGAAGGTAATTATCAGCACCTGAAGCTGCAAGAAGAATTCCCTGCAAAAGGATGATGCCACCAAGCCCCAGCCAAGCAAGAAGGAAAGCACTCTCGTTCTTATTCTGCTCCTTGGCTTTAATCTCCTCTTCTTTGCTCACAAACGTCGGTTTCTCCACAGGGACCCGCCTAATTATTGTTGCCCTCTCTCTCTTATCTCTCTGTTTCTTCTTACTACTCACACTGGATTTGTTAAACGTGGATGTAGAGGAAGAAGAAGAAGACGAAGAAGAGCCAAACCCTAGCCCAGATGAGTTAGGTTTTCTGGAAGGGACAGGCTCCTCAGTGGGTTCATTTTCGGTCTGGGAATTTTGGTATTTGACTGTGAATTGGGGTTTTTTGGTTGAGGGAAGAAGGAAGGTTTTGTACGGAAGATGGTGATACGGAGTGTGGATTTGAAGCGCCATTTTCAGTTTAGTTGGTTACTTTCTGCCCACGGGCTAGCGATGTAGCCGAAATTTGTGCCTTTTTACAGAATCGCTGCTTATATATATATATTTACATTGGACCATAAACGACGTCGTGTGGAAAGTTGTTTAACCTTTCGGCAGTTGCAATAACGTCGTCGTTTCAAGAGTACCACTTCCAGGAGTCAACGAGAAGTGAGAGCTCCGGAAATAAGTACTCTTCTGGTCTATTTCCCTCCACAAAATTCAACATTTTCTCTCCTCCACAATTCCCTTTCTTGGTCTGGCGATGATAAGTGCTAGCTTTACTTAACCCGGAGTTCTTTCTTTCGTCTGCTACTTCATGGATGCTGCTCTTTTCCATTATAATCTCTTCTCGTCATGGCCGTTCTCACTTTCCCGAACTCCCTCAATCTCTTGTTCGGGTCAAGGAATCACTTTCGTCGTAGAGGGAATCGGTGCATTTGCTCATTCTCCAGGGTAACCGGAGAGAATTCCACGGCGATTCTCTGGTTCAAGCAAGATCTCCGCGTCGACGACCACCCTGGCCTCCTCGCGGTCTCTAAATATCGAGCCGTAGTTCCTCTTTACGTCTTCGATCACCGCATTCTCTCTCGTGAGCACTATATTCATTTTTCAATCTTCTTTTCCAATTAGCAATTTGATGCTTTTTTAATTTTTGGCTGATTATTGAGTTCTTTTTCCTGGTTTCATTTGAAAGTTGAGTTTCTTGTTTGTTTCACTATATGAGTAGAGCTCATTGTGGAATCAAAGTCCATTAAACTTGAATATGAGCGCTTTTCATGTAGAAAGCATTTATCGAATCAAGCACACATTATGTGACTTTCTGTTACAATGAAGAGTAGACCCGATGTCGTACAGAGAAAATGTGCTTTTTCGACATGTATTTGTTTGCTGATTTTGGCAATAATGCATGTAGGTTACTCTGATGAAATGCTAGAACTTGTTGTTTTTGCATTGGAAGATTTGAGGCAGTTTTTGAAAGAGAAAGGATCCAATCTGATGTTCAGGTTTGGGAATGCAGAAAGCGTCCTACAAGAGCTTGTAACAAAGGTTCTCATGTGTTCCCATTAGATTTTCATTCTGTGATTACTAGCTTCACACTCCAGGCATGAGGCAAAACTTTGAAGCTTTCTTGTTCTCTTACCTTGTTAAACTCATCCCGGAGTATTGGAACAGGTGCAAGCTACCGATGTATATACCGAAGAAGAGGTAGAGTATGAGTTAGTAAGAATAACGGATATTGTGAAAGGTACATTGGAGAAGATTTCCTCTTTAGAGGAAGGCCCGAGGATTTCACTATGGCAGACTCCATTTTACAAGATTAAGGTGGTTTTTCTTTTCCCTTATTCCTGTTTCTCTTATATGAAGTCCTTGCATGAATATTTAGTTATCTGCACTAATGCTGTATAGGATCTGAAGGACCTGCCTGCATCATATGAGGACTTTAAGAAACTTGAACTACCTCCAACATCACCAATTCTGGCCCCAGCATTACCTGGTGTAGGGATCGATCTGCACTGGGGTAAGTGCTAGTGTTACAAATCTCAATTTCTTGTTTTCTTGTTGTTTCATTTCTGAATAGACTCTGATATGGAATTCTGATTAACCTAGGGAAAATAATTACTGAAATATGGCTCAGGTCCTCTACCTACAGTTGATGACTTGAAGGAATTCATGAACAATAATCCATGCAAATCAGAAGACAGCTGGCGTGCAATAAAAGAGATATCAGCTGAAACCACATTGCAGGAAAGGTTTTCCAAATCAGGGCAAAGAAATAAAGACAATTTAAATTTCAAATACTCCAGAAGGAAGAAGCTAGATAAATCTGTTTTTGTCACACAGAAGGCAAATATTGTTGGAGGTGGAACAAATGCTATATTAAATGCCTTGGCTGGGTACTTGAGATATTTGGAGGGAACAGCTCGAGATGATTGGCAAGAGTATGTGGTGAACATTTACCAGATTCATTCTGATTACGTATTAGGATATTTACAAGGGTTACATACTCTGAAACTTGATTTTATCTTAAAAGAACAGTTTTCCCCCATGATTTATTGCCAGGGTCCATGAACGGCTGCGAGATGCTGAAAGTCGTAATGGATCTTCATTTCTTAAACTTTTTGGGCCTGCTCTTTGTCTTGGCATCATATCGAGAAGGAGAGTTTATTATGAAGCAATCAAGTATGAGAAAGAACGGAATGCTGGATTTCTTTCTCCTTTTGGATATTCAGCAGTCACTGTTGCTGCAGCAGCAGATGCTGTGTGCTCAATGGAGGTGTGACAGTATTTTTCTTTTTTTTTTTTATTCATCTCTCTTACATCTTAAGTGGTAACAATTGGTTGTTATCTGATGTGATTCCTTATCCTCAGCTTTTTTTTCTGAGCCTATCATTTTCAAGCATCTTTAAAGTATTTTTCATTTCTTTGACAGTGGTATTGGCTTGTGGCTCTAAAATGTCAAATAAGTGATGAAGGAAGATATTCTATAAGGATATGGAGATGGAAGGGCTATCTAATTCAGGTATGCATCAGAAAATAGGTAAATGCATAATAGTTGGTCCTGGTACAATTTCTTATTTTTGGCATTCATTTTTGTTTGATGGCCCTCAAGGGGTTCTTTAAAGTTTGAACCTCTGCGCTCTTGAGAAAGAGGGGGACTCACTTTAAGTGAGTTGGTCTTTTGTCATTTACTTAAGCAAGAGATCCAACTTTTAATATTATGTTATGCTGTTTCAGTACACAGTAGTTGGTCATGGAGGTCCTGCTGTTCTGCTCGGACTCACTTTAAGTGAGTTGGTCTTTTGTCATTTACTTAAGCAAGAGATTCAACTTTTAATATTATGTTATGCTGTTTCAGTACACAGTAGTTGGTCATGGAGGTCCTGCTGTTCTGCTCGGACTCACTTTAAGTGAGTTGGTCTTTTGTCATTTACTTAAGCAAGAGATTCAACTTTTAATATTATGTTTTGCTGTTTCAGTACACAGTAGTTGGTCATGGAGGTCCTGCTGTTCTGCTTGTTCATGGTTTTGGTGCTTTTCTGGAGCATTATCGCGATAATATGAATGGGATAGCTAAAGGTGGAAACAAGGTTTGGGCTATCACAGTTCTAGGATTTGGCAAATCAGAAAAGCCAAATATTGTCTACACTGAAATCATGTGGGCCGAGTTGCTGAGAGATTTTATCATTGAAGTTGTTGGTGAGCCAGTGCATTTAGTGGGGAACTCAATCGGTGGTATGTTCCAACATGCATGAACCGTCCGTGTGCTCTCTCTCTCTCTCTCTCTCTCTCTCATGCAGGCACACAGCACTTCCCCACAAAGTGGCTTATCTGCTTTATTTCAGCAACTTGTTATTGGTTTCATTTAGTTGTCTAATTGTTGTTATTCACTATTTCCAGGGTATTTTGTTGCTATAGTTGCTTGCTTTTGGCCTACTTTGGCCTTGTCCACAGTCCTTGTTAACAGTGCTGGCAATGTGATTCCTGGTTTTTCTTCTGGACAAGTTTCCGGAGTAAGTTCCACGCAAATCCAACAATGTCATGAATCAATCAGTTTTGGAACTGCCGATTTTCTGGTCATGAAACATTCAATTTGGTTCCATCTAGCTTTTTCTGTTACATTGTGCCATGTTATATGCACTTCTCAGGATGGTTGGAAACTGATGATGCACTGTATGGCACCAGCTTGTGTCTTGCAGGCGCAAGTGTCGATATGTATGTGCGGTGATATTTGTGCTTATTATAAAAAGGGTGCCAGGAAAATAACAAATATTTTCTATAACAAAAAAAAAAGTGCCTTAGTGAGTATCTAAAAGTTGTTACACAAGGAATCCGACTGCTCTAAATTGAGCTATCTATGGGTTACTTTGTGCAATATGTCATTCTTAACTTAGTAAAGGATCATTAAAATGTTTTCAAGAAAAGAAAAATAACTTTTATGTCATGTCTCAATTTAGTTTCTTTTCCTGTAAGAAATCAAGGTTTTGATGGAAAAACCCTGAGAAATTTGTGCAGAAGTACTACTACTAGATGGACACTAATAATCCAAGATTGGCATGACGTGTGACCTTTGTATGTGTGTGTGATCAATCCATTCATTTTAAGCTTACCTACCAGTCCTTCATAGTTCTTGCTGATCTTCTGCTCTTGGCATAAACGAGGAGTCCTATATAAATTCAAGTTCTACTTATTCAGCATGCTTAGTGCAGCCTTTATCAGTCTTAACAGTGGATGGTTCACACTGCAGTCTGATTACAATCAATAGAATTTATTGTCTCTTTTGCTTCGATCTATTTCAGGAGAGACAGGCTTCAGGAGCTGCATGGGTGGGTGCTCGACTCCTCTTGTTCTACTTGAGATTGAATCTCAAGAACATATTAAAAAACTGCTATCCAACTGTAAGGAGTGTTTTCTTGCAAGTGCTTTCGACTTTCCCTTTTTTTTTTTTTTTTTTGGTGATTCCTGTCTGTATGGTGTTTGACTTTTCTTTCTTTCACGCTGCAGAGGTCAGAGCGAGCTGATGATTGGCTTATTAAAGAAATGTTAAGAGCAGTATCCTCTTTATTGATGGAACTTTGATTTTTGAGCATGTATGCGCACATGTACTTTTGCATCTGCATTTGTGTGTTCGCATTTATTTAGCAAATAGTTTTAGGGACCACATATCTATATTGACAAACATCACCTTAACCTTTACTTAAAGTCCCATGACCCTGGCGTTCTTGTGGTCCTGGAAAGCGTACTCAGCTTCAATCTCTCAATTCCACTTAATTATCTCTTGAGCGGATTTGAGGAAAAAGTCCTTATTATACAGGTTAATGGTTAAATATCAAGATGCCTTAAAAACATGATAATCTTGGTAAATTCATTGTTCTTTCTTGTTTAGATTATGCGCTCACTGCTTTATTTATTATATAGGGAATGAAAGATCCAATCTCGGATTCCAAAACAAAACTAGCCATGTTGAAAGAGCATTGTAATGGGGTTGAAATTAGGGAATTGGATTCAGGTAAGTCAACTCAAACCTTGTCGCTACTTCTGTTTCCCATCCTGGAAATGTTCTTTTGTCATTCCTTTTCTTCTTTTCTTTGACTTTCCAGGTCACTGTCCCCATGATGAGCTACCTGACGAAGTTAATTCTATCATCTGTGAATGGATAGCGAACGTTAGAGCCAAGTCACTAGCAGGGAGCTTATTTTAGTACGCTCCTTTGTTGCCTTGTTTAATGAAAGCAAAAGAGTTTTTCCATTTAGAATTGCACTTTCATACATCCCCTAGCATGGATGGAAAATCTGTCTGCTAACATCAGCAGGTGAATAGACAGCGGACACCTATCTTTTTTGCTTATTTTTTAATAATTCTTCTAACCTTAAAATGTAGTTTCAGGACATATTTATACTTACGGGAAGAAACAATGAGATCAGTCACCTCTTTCGTTATTTTTTGGTGGTTCAGTCAAGTGGGCTCTAACTCAGGAAATTTAGTTGACAGCTAACAGCTTGACATCCTTCTAGTTCCATAAGATTTTTCCTGCCAGGACATTATCCTAATAGTCAAGCCAGAGAGCAGAGGCTTTGCACAAAGTCAATTTCATAACTTGGGAAACCAAACCTATGCAATAATGAACTCTGTTCATGATAGGTGAATCTGAATTCATGGGTTTTCTGAACTGCTAATTCCCCGAGTATGTTTAATACTAAATAGTCCGGCTCAACTTTTTTCTTGAGAAACTACCCTACCTCATAAATTGGACCTGGGTTCTTACACACACACACACACACACACACAAAGATAAAAAAACTAGCACACCAATTCTCTGAAAAACATAGTCAGTTTGAATAGATCAGCGGATGCCATAACTTGGTGCAAAACATAGTCAGTTTGCCAACAATTAATGAAATCTGTTTGCCAAATTTTTTTGTCGCACATTATCAAACTGGGATTAGGTTTCGTTTGCATTTGCTAGGCCTCAGTGCACAATTATTCAATTTGTATATGTAGGGTTACAAAGTCCCTCACCCACAGACAAGGGCAACCATCTGCTGATCCAACCAACACAAGCCTTCAAAAAAGAATATGATCAGCATGAGCGGCAGCAACACTCTAAATAGCCTTGCAAATCCACCTTAGCCAAAATATATAGAGCCAATGCCCCAGGAGCTCCTGCTGCCTCCTTTAAATCAGCCACCAATGCATTTAGTTGGTTGCCATGCCGATCAATGCTTTTTGTTTATCTTGAAATATAACTTTTATTGATGTTTCCTTCCCTCTTTGCCTCTGAATTGATACTTCATCCAGAACAGGAGCAGCTCTTACTTCTCTCCCGCCAATTTCACTTCATTTAGTAAACAACTTGTGTCGGGAATTACGCCATCACCACAGTGCCTGATAATTCCTTCCCCTATGAGGTCATTCAACAAATCAACTGGTTCTTTGGCTCCTCCATGCTGCAAGAATTTTGTTCTGAGAGCAGTTCCAGTGGTCAAAGATAGTGGATCCTCTTGGCATAGCTTTTGCCATATAGTTGCAGCAAAACATCTGGCATACAAGTAGCTATAATAACCTACAACCAAATAATTGCAAAGATTACCAGAAATAGGTCTGATATTCCATTAAATCCTGTAACACAAAGTAGCATCTGAAGATGATTTATTTACGTGTGGGGAGAAGAAACAATTATCCTCAACCCAAAAAAGTATTTGATTATCTGTGATTTAACTTACCTGCACCATAATTTATCAGGTGACTAAATCGTATGTGCCAATTAGTGCCCTCCACATGCTTCCAGCTTGTATGTTGCCTTTTTAATTCTGCAACCATGGAACTTGTATCTCTATGAATGGCTGCTTGTTCCCCAAAGAGTGTTTGGTCAACCAGGGCATAAAAAGTCTGACAGAAAGCAAATGACATACACAGGTAAAGACTATTTTCTGTCTCATTGCATAAGAGAAAAGTATGCCTTATTACACCACTGGTTGAGTCGAACCTGACGCTGCAATTCAGTTGCAGCAAACATGTCTCTGGCACCTTGCATTGATTTTACCAACTTCTCAGGTATAATTTCACCAGTTGAATAGTGTCTAGCAAACGTCTTTAAGACTCTGTAATCCCAAGCGTAATACCTAAAAACACTAGAATCAATGACACTGAAATCCAAATGCAACACTATATATGCGTATACATACATACATAGCATGTGCATCATATGTCTCCAAAAGCCAAAAATATATTAGATTCATCAGGAATAAGAAAAAGAGATAACTATATTGTGGGAATTTGTAAATAGTTTATACTCACTCAAACAGGTTTGAAGGCATCTCGGCCAAGTCCAGAACCACCCTGGTACCAGAAAAATGTTGGTAATCCTACAAAACATGTACACATCATGCTGGGGTTAAAGGGAAAAGAAACTAAGGCAGCCACGTTTCTTCTTGTATGTCTGTTAATTAAATGTTAATGATATACCGTCCGCGAAAGTAAAGAATGGAGAGCATGCCCAAACTCATGAAATAAAGTCTCTACTTCTGAATGATTAAGTTTTACAGTTGATGATTCACGAAGATATGAAAAATTGCAAACGAGCGCCACAACCTGCAGTAATGCCAAAAGAAATAATTTAATTGATGGCTAGAGGAATGAATAGAAATAAACTACATATTTTTTTCTCCCTTTCTCTTTTTCACACAGAATATTTCAAAGATTAGTTTCCAATCTTTAGATTTATTTTGATGCTAAAATGGTATCCAATAGAAGAAACTAGAATGTAAGAAAGAGCTGATTAATGCTACTTAAACTTAATTAGCTTATTAACATACAGGAAGTTGATACTCTGTATCAGAAATTCGGCGTGCTCCTTTAATTGCAAAATTAGCACAACCTGGATACTTGCCCTCCCTTGAGTACAAATCAAGGTACAGATACCCTAAATCACCCTGCAATATGTGCATGCACCTATTTAAGAATGGGACATTGTGAAAGAACAAAATCAAATTAAGAATAGTTTGCACCAGCATTGTCAAAGGTTGACTTTTGCAGTGACGAGGGAACACCATGAAATTCTCACAAGTTACCAAGAAGCAAGGGGATATATGTGCTAAAGTAACACTAGAGCAGGTAAAACAGTTAATCACATGAAACTATTTGAGATGGCAGAGATCAAAATGAAACAGAAAAGGCACAGAGTTAATTCATTTGATTCCAAAATCCTTAAATTACTTCAACATGGCAAGAGAACTATGGAAGGAGTTTGGTCATGAAAAAGAGTTCTATAATCTTAATATGGCCTGTAATCTAATGCTTTCAAACCTAACATATACTTCTTCAGGGTGATGGAGGGACATTTTAAGCACATCAGGGTGCCATGATTCTCCAGGAGCCATAGGAACATCGAAAAATGTGGCACCAAATAGTGACTTCACCAGCACTTTCAGTCCCTCAATACATTGAGGCAAGGGAAAATATGAAGCCACAACCTGCTCCAAAAAGAAAAAGAAATCCTAAAGAGATTAGAAAAAGGAATCCTCACATTTGAAATATGAAGAAAATTTTGAACATTCCTGAAAAGCAAAGACATCCTAATACCCTATGTTAACCGAAAAAACTACTGTTGCACAACAAATAAACATGACCGATCTTCATGTTATGAACAAGATCCAAATAAAAACAAGTGCATAACTTACTGAAGAGTCCAAATTGTAAGCAGAGGATTTCATCATTGCTGTGTAATGTGTCTCATCCCATGGTTCTAACTCTACAAAATCTTCACCAGATTTGTCTCTTTTGAAATCCCTGATTGCCCTAAATTCCTAGAGTGAAGTCAATTGCTCATTAGATTACTGAATATGGATACTGCAGCATAATCAAAGCAACAACTAGGTGGTATGCATTCTCGCATTATAAAAGTTCAGAAGAGATAGTACCTCATCAGCCTTTTGACGGACCATCTCGCTCATCTCAAGCAAAAAGGATTTTACAACCTTTGGTGATGAAGCAAGGTTTGGCTTCACTGTAAATTCAGCATAGGATTTGTACCCTATTATCTGCAATTCTCAAGAAAACAAATCCATGCTCCACTAAGGCAAACCATTTTCTTTTTAAAAAATTAAGATTAAACTGAAGAACATGCATATGGAATATGATCTATGGTCCAATTTCTTATTAACTCATCACACAGAACAAGAAATTTCACAAAAGAAAAAGGTTCATATTAGCGTATCAATGAATAATATCATACAATCTCTTTACATACAAGGGTAAATTGAGAGCTAAACTATTAAATCAGCAATCGAAAAAAATTTAGACATTCTGACAGAAAGCACCTCATTCTGTCACAGTTAAAAGGTATCCACTTCTACTAAAAAACTATTTATCTATTATGATGGCTTATAAATTGGAAGATTAAATGAATTCTCCTGGATATTTTAGAGAAAGTTCTTTTCAAGTGGTAAAATTGATGGTTACAATTTAAAAATCATAATAAATACGTCCGATAGGAACTATAAAGTTATATTATTTTGCGAAATCTGAATGCTTCTCTAGTTCTGTGCATAATGAGAAATGGCCAACTTCTGTATAGGATGACTACCTGTGCAAGCTCATGACGAGCAACTATAAGCTTATCAAGAACTTCAAGGTTTGAGCATGGAACTGAGTTTCCTTGCACATATGCCATTTTTCTAACCTGAACACAGAAACCAAAATCATCAGTGTAATGATAGAAATTAAATAGCAGGCGATTTAGTATCTGCAAAATGGAAGATTAATATCATCACTTAATAAATTTATCACAATACTGAATTTAGCTCACGCAATCTACAGTTAGTACTGAAATATAACACAAATATTTCAGACATTTGAAAACAATACAACTCCCCTCGCCCCTACCCCCAACTTCAAGAACAGAGAAAAATAATAACAGCATCTGATGAAGAAAAAAGAGAACTACTTGCTCATCTGGTGTCCATTGCAGAACAGAAGAAAGAATCCGAGGCTCTGTAGTTATTTGAAATCCCTTCTCTTTCATTTTATTCTTAGCTACTGCATCTCCCGAAGCAAGACGGTAAATGGGCTTAAGGAGATGGTGTATGCGCTTTGGAATGCATGATGCTGGGAATATATTGACATGACCTGGGTCGCTTGCAATATTTTCACCGAATCTGGCATAGATTTGAGAAACGATAAATTGTAACCAATAGCTTGCTCTATGGGCATAATTTATTAAATACACCGAACACTTACTCTCGACATAGCTGAAAAATCTCTAGGTTTAGCTTATTTACTCGATCCAACTTCTCTGCAAAGTAAGATGGGGTATCATCTTATCAAAACAGCAATAATGCATGACATGACATAAAAAGAAGAATGATGTGATCATGAGAACCATACCAGGACATAGATGAATTCCGCCCCTTTCAAAGTCAATCCGCAAGTGATGAGCCGCTCTATGAGCTTCCTTGGTAAGCAGATAATCATCTTGCTCGGCTTTTTTTACCGCATCATAGAGAGTATGATTTGTATTAAGATACTGCATGTTAACATGGGAAGCTCCAAGTGGTTACCAGAAACAGCTTATGAATTCGCAATTGATCACTTTGACAAGCATAGAATCAACTTTAATGACCGAATTTCAAATCTGCAAATAGACTTTCTCGAGGGGAAAAAAGAAAAGCTTAGTATCTAAGGCATAGTGCACAAGATGTTCTACACTGCTCTTATATTTGGTGGACATTCAATTTGAACTGATTCTGATTTAATTACAAATCCGCTATATAAAGAATGATATATCAAAGTGCAACCAAGCAAAATAGCTTCTAAATCATGTGATAAACAATCTCCATATACACTTTTCCTATCATGTTTTAGATTACTTCTTCATAGCCTTTGATTCCTCATCCTAAAGAATGTGTGTTCATTAAGATATCTGAGTGCATATATACCCACTCGATGTAACTAGTATGTCCTTGTAACGTGCATCAATACAATTAAAGAAGCAAGAGCATTAATGAAACCAAGAAAACTTCACTGATAAAAGAATAACTGGTCAGCTTCTCACATGTAGATATTCATTTAGTCTCATTGATGCCTTGTGAGCCTCCTCAACAAATTCCCTGATAAACCATTAAGTCATTGACACTAAGAACAAGCACAAATGAATTTTTGTAAGATAATATTTAATGAAGCATAATAAAAGATAAAAAATGCCTTTTTCAAATTTGGTAAAGAACAACCTGTCTGGATGAGTTTGTCTACAGAGTTCCGCAGAATCAATAACAGAACAAACCTATTAGACAGGAACCACGTCACTCCAATCATCTAAAAGCTCAAAGTAACAGTGCTATAGAGAATACATATATTATTTTAGCAGAAAACCAACTGTATCTGAAATTTCATCCATGGCTCGAACAATCTCCGCAGATGAAGGCATCCCTGATATATAATTCACCAGTTCCCCGCACCTAACAGGAAAAAATTAATTACATTTTTCTCAGCTTCTAAACAACGAAGTAGAAGACAAGTAACTTCTAAAATCATATACGGTTCTAATTCACAACAATGGATATTATGCATTAAGCTCATTAGAACATTTAGTTTGAAGTCGATTAAAAAAGAAAAGGCCTACTGTTTTTTGGTTATATTTTCCCTAGTTTCCTCAGGGGCCAATTAGTAGTGGATACACACACACACACACACACACACACACACTAACATAGAGTTGAAAAAACCAACAAGTATAAACCTCACTCATACCAGACATGTGAATCAATGATAAGAACCGAGTAAAACATTAGTGTTCAGAGTTTCAACCAAGACATTAGCGTTCAGAGTTTCATTCCCATGTTTTTCCGGCTATTTTCTCGGCAACCAGGCGGAAGCAAACTGACTCAATCATCATCAAACCAAAAATTTGACTCAGAAACAAGAGCCAACTAAGACATTAACTTCACTTCCTATGTTTTTCCTGCTATTTTCCCGCGGCCAAACGCAAACTAATTCGAGCATCGTACATTCTATTCTGTTTACCTCTCGATGGCGTCGTCTACAAAGCGTTGAAATCCCTTGGGGTTCTTGAGATGGTCAAATCCGTAGAGACCGGTGGGGGCTCCGTTTGGTTGAGGAACCGCCCAGCTGTAGAAGTTCCGGCTCCATGAAAGATCCGAATTGCGTGTTCTGATAACGTTTCCGGCACAAAGATTCGAAGCGAGCTTGAGGATGCGGCTCCACATTGCTTTAGAACTGCCGTCGGGTGTTTCCGTGGAATTTGAGTGACTCGCCCGCAAGATACCGCCACATAGGAAAAGGAGAAGGCGAGCTGAGCTACCTGAAAGCAAGGGAAGACAACGTCTCCCAGTGTAGCCAAACAATATGAGGCGCGGATAATGATGACCGAGTTTCCAAACAACAGCTATTGCCAGAAATTTCAGGCCATTTTTGGGCCCATTCCAAATGATCTTGTTCTTCATGTCTTTACCTCCGACAAAATATGAGGGTTTTGGGCCGTTTTAGTTAAATATTATTAGAATAATACATCATAAAATTTATAAATATTTAATAGAATTTTAGATTTTATTATTTTATTTACATAACAAATTTTATATAAACTTAAATTTTAGTTAAAATAATTTTACATAATTTTAATTTATTTCATAAATAACTTTTAACATTAATTTAAATATTACTCTTCCGCAGAATTTATTGTAAGGAAGTTTAATACTTTCATTCATAAAATAATTAAATTGATCAAAATTCTAATTATTTTTCAAGTCCATAATCACGTTTTACATGATAATTTGTTGTGAGATTCGATTGCATAATTTTTATCAGATAATTAATGATTATATATTTTTATATAATAAAACTGATATAATAATTATTTAAAAAATCATTCAAAAAAATTATTGTTAAGAAAAATGAATTGTATTATTTATTCAAAAATTTAAAATTTATTTAAAAGTGGAAGGTAAGAGGCCAATATCTATTAGAAAAGACAGAAATATTTTTAGTGACAATTGCGGGAAGCACGTTTTGAAAATGGGAAAAAAAGGAAACCGCTCCCGAATCCCTCAAAAAACTGAAAATCTTCCTTCGTGTCGCCATTCAACGCCCCAGTTCAGTTCCCGCGAAAACCTCATTCTCTCTCTCCTCTCACCCTTCTATCAAATTTTCCATTTCCTCTCTCTCTCTCTCTCTGGCTAAGATCGACGGTATCACTCCATATTACACTTGCAATTCGAGCACCTATGCAAATGCCATGAAAGAGATCGACATTTCTATCATCGTCCAGCAATGTCGTCGACGGGACCGGATAACCTTCATGATCCATCAAGCCTCACTAGCACATCCCAACCGACGTCCTCCCCCACCTCGATGAAGTCCAAGCTGAGGAAGATGCCTGCAATCCCTATCCGCCGGCCCCGGGAGGATGCGGGGGCAGAGGACTGCCAAGAGGAAGGAGAAGAAGAAGACGACGACGATGACACCGAACGGCAGCCTGGGGAGGATTCTCCGATTATCCTCGCTGCATTGACGCTGGGGCTCAATCACATAAGAACTAGATCAGCACCGTCTCCTTCGCCTCTCAGATTCTCATCCTCCGTGGACACGCCTTCGGTTATCGTGGATCACGTTGGCAACAATGACAAGGAGAAGGCTGGGGTTTCCATCGGGGTCGATACGAAGCCTAAATGGCCGATTCCTTCCCATCACCTGGCCAATACCGATCAAGGTAAATCCATCCCTGTTTTGTTCCGAATTGTGATTTGTCTCTGTTTCTTTCCCCTTTCTGTGTGGATTGCGATTGATTTGATTACTAGAATCGGAATTAATTGCGACGTGCTTGTAAACTCGTGGAGGATGTTTCATTTCCATGGAGATGGAGAATAGAGAATCATTTTGTATTCATGTTATGTTTTTTATTGGTAGGCAAAAAGGTCCAATGGAGCCAATCAAAATCTCTGAAGGTTCCGTCAGCTATAACTCCAGGGTTGGAGGTAGTAATCTTTTGGCTATTTTGAAATGCATGCATGCACACCCAAACACGCACAAAAATATGCGTGTTATTCAGTTGGAGGATTTTAGGTAGCTCAGGTTAATCGTATTGTGCGTTTTTTTTTTGTTTTTCTGGCGTAGAGTTGTCATGCGGCTTTTGCCAAAGAAATGCAATCTCCGCGTTTCCAAGCAATACTGCGCGTTACAAGCATCCGAAAGAAGAAAGCCCCAGATATCAAGAGCTTCTCTCACGAGCTAAATTCTAAAGGAGTACGACCTTTTCCTGTCTGGAAGTCTCGTGCATTCGGACATATGGAGGTGCATACTTTTCTTTTGTAGCCGTTCGTCTTCTAGATGGACATCTTTATCTGTTCCTCGTAATCTTTTCACCTATGTATTTTTCAGGTTTCCACATTGCAATGACCTAGTTGTTAATGGATTTTTCAGGAGATTATGGTAGCAATCAGAGCAAAATTTGACAGATTAAAGGAGGAAGTTGATTCTGATTTAGGAGTTTTTGCTGGTGATTTAGTGACTAAAATTGAAAAAAGTTCAGATTCTCACCTGGAATGGAGAGAGGGTTTGGAGGACTTGTTGATTATAGCTCGAAGATGTGCAACAATGTCACCTAGTGAATTTTGGGTTAAGTGTGAAAGCATTGTTCAGAATCTAGATGACAGACGTCAGGAGTTACCAATTGGGATTCTTAAACAAGCCCACACACGCCTTCTCTTTATCCTCACTCGATGCACTAGGCTCGTGCAGTTCCAGAAGGAAAGTGGTTATGAAGAAGATCATATTCTGGGACTTCACCAACTCAGTGATCTTGGTGTCTATCCAGAACAATTTTTTGAAATGAGACAGCCAGAATTTAGTGGTCCAACGGATGGGGATAAAGAAGTAAATGAGAAGCAGAGAAAGAAGTTGCATGAGAAGGAAAAAGGGAGTCTAGTTACGAAGCACGATCAATTAGATCAACGTTTAAGCAGTGCTGATGGTGCAGATGTTAACACTGCTAAAAGCTCTGATTCAACTGCTAGCAGCTACAGGATGTCATCCTGGAGAAAACTCCCTTCAGCTGCTGAAAAAAACCGCAAGGGTGATGCAATTTGTGATACGTCTTCCAAGGATAAGGCAGAAACAAAAGATGAAAAAAAACTTGGTGGTGATGAAAGTACTGGGATTCCAGATACTCCATCACTCTATCCTCCATCATCTGGAAGAAAAGTTTCATGGGGATTCTGGGCAGATCATCAAAGTGTGACATATGAAAATTCAATGATCTGTCGTATTTGTGAGGTTGAAATACCTGTTGTACATGTGGAAGAGCATTCTCGAATTTGTACAATTGCTGACAGATGCGACTTGAAAGGCTTAACTGTGAATGAACGACTTGAAAGAGTTGCAGAAAGCCTTGAAAAGATTCTGGAGTCATGGACACCAAAAAGCACCCCATTGAGCTCCAATACACCAAGAGGAAGTCCTGATGTTGCAAGAGTGTCAACATCAACTACACATGAAGATTTAGATGAACTGTCACCAAAGCAGAATAGTTCATCATCTCGATGTTGTTCTGTTGACACACTTGATTGTGTTCCTGATTCGGATAATACTTTTCTCATGGATGATCTAAATGTGTTACACAGTGTAGGATTTGAAACACATTCCAATCCAACAAGGCCTGGCATGAAAACCTCATCAGGAAGCTTAACACCACGATCACCATTAGTAACACCAAGGACCAGCCAGATTGAATTGCTGTTAAGTGGGTGGAAAACAATAACAGAACTTGAGAATCATCAGCAGGTACATAATTAAGTTACCTTATATTTCTATTTTATTTCACAAGACTTGAGAATACAGGCAGACACTCAGTCTGTTCATGCTCCCTTTTAAGTCCTTCTATCCCAAGGTGCTATGTGTGATTTGTTTATTTGACTTTCCTTTCTATTTATACCGGGTGACAGATAAGCAAGTTACTTGATATTGCTCGTTCAGTTGCAAATGTGAATGACTGTGACTACAGTGCATTGGAGTACATGCTTGACCGTTTGGAAGATCTAAAATATGCCATCCAGGATAGGAAGGCAGATGCTCTTGTGGTAGAAACTTTTGGAAGACGTATTGAAAAACTACTGCAGTAAGTCAATTTGATTTCAGTTCAATTGTTTCTCATTGTTAATTAATTTATTAAATTATGCCTTTCTAATTTCACAGACATTATTTTGTGTAGGGAGAAATATGTAAGTCTTTGTAGCCAGATAGAAGATGAAAAAGTAGACTCGTCGAACACCATGGCAGATGAAGAGAGTTCAGCGGATGAGGATACTGTCCGTAGTCTGCGAGCAAGTCCTATTAATATGTGTTCTAAGGACCGAACATCCATAGAAGACTTTGAAATAATAAAACCAATAAGCCGAGGGGCATTTGGGCGAGTTTTCCTGGCTAGAAAAAGAGCAACAGGAGACTTGTTTGCTATAAAGGTCAGCATCTCTAGTATCATAGAAAGGTCGGCTGATGAGAATAAAGTGATTAAACATATTATCTCTGTTTGTATGTTTCATCTTGTTATTGTTTTATTCTTGTGTATCAATGTGTCATGAATGTTGTGCAGGTTCTAAAGAAGGCCGGTATGATATGTAAAAATGCAGTTGAAAGTATTTTGGCTGAGCGCAACATCCTCATTTCAGTTCGCAATCCGTTTGTGGTAAGAAGCTCCATAAGATATTATTATCTATGAATGCATTAATTTGCCACCAAATTTCTAATGTGCTTTCCAATGATGTACAGGTTCGATTTTTCTACTCCTTCACATGCAGGGAAAATCTTTATCTTGTAATGGAGTATCTAAATGGTGGAGACCTGTTCTCTTTGTTAAGAAATCTAGGTTGCTTGGATGAGAACATGACTCGAGTATATATTGCAGAAGTTGTAAGGCCATATTTATATCTTGCCTTTGCTTGGAATTCTCTGTGTGTTTCAACTTGATAAAAATTTCTCACAATAGTACAAATAGTTTGTTTTATATTTCTCAGGTTCTTGCCTTGGAGTATTTGCATTCTGTGAGCATCATTCACAGAGACTTGAAGCCGGACAATTTGTTGATTGGTCAAGATGGTCATATAAAGGTCTATATTTTTCCATTTTACGTAAATTCCATTAAGGGTGGGTGTGATGATAGTGTTCATAATATATCAATGATTCAGAAAAAGTTTATTATGCTTCTTTAGATTTCTTTAAATTGTAAACTATGCCTCTAGCTTTGTATGAGCAGATGTTTTTCCTACTACAAGATTACAGTTCAGTGAGCAAGAGTTTTGGTTTCCAGTAGCATTAGGAATTGTCCCCCACTTTATTGCTTTTTTTCATTTAAAGCTAATCGATGACCAAGTCTTACCTGTTTATTTCAGTTGTTCTATGAACTTAGTTTGAGGATACACCAAAGCACTGATTTTGGCTTGTATTATTCTGTTATGAAAATTTATATACTCATTGATGGAAGAAATAAGATATATTGAAATAAGTGGCAGCACTTTATAGGTGCAAACTGCACTTTTTGAATTTATCTTCTAAGAACCCAATTATGGAGATATTTTCTTTTGATTGCAAACCCTCATTTCTGGGTCTCGTGAATTCTTCCCCATTCATGAACACTAAAAGAAGAAGGCTTTTGATTTGACGTTTGTAGACACTGGAAACAAAACATGGCTCAAAGAAGCATGTTCTTTTTTTTCCTGAAGTTGGATGTTCAAGAGCAAAATCGTTGGACCTCTTTTGACCTGAGGAAATGAAAAAATGGCTAAGAGCAGTTGGTCTGCATAAAGGTTTTTCAAGTTTCATATTTCATGGTGGTGTCTATTTTTAAGTGTTGAATAGAGTGGCCAATGTTTCGGAATCAGCACATTAAAAATAAAAATCTGCTTGCTGACTTCAGTAAGAACTCTAACCTTCCTTTCCTCGTACCGTCATTTTCTCCTCATGGCACTTTTTATTAGGCTCGGTTAATCCTAGGAAGATATCCTTTTTAAAATAGCATGAAATGAGAGTTTCCTGAACTCCATTGGTAAATTTAAGGGCTCCTTTGAATTCAATTTTAATAAGATCAGGACTCAAGATTCAGGACTCCTCACGAAGAATGCTGATAGCTTTCACCTGTTTTTTTTTTCATTTTTTCAATGTTATTGTAGTCTTAAATCAACCCCTCTTTTGTTTTCATCCTTACAGCTTAAGTGCTATAATGGCATTATTTATAATTTCTCACACATCTCTAATGCCTTCTCTTTACAGTTGACAGATTTTGGGCTGTCCAGGTTGGTCTGATCAACAGTACAGATGACTTCTCAGGTCCATCACTGGACAGTGGTGGATTTTTTGGAGATGATGAACAGAAAGCTCAACCTTCATCGAAAAGATCTCAACGCCCAAAGCATTCGGTAGTTGGCACTCCTGATTATTTGGCCCCAGAAATACTGCTTGGCATGGGACATGGTTAGCAATTCTTCTGCATGTTATAAAAAATGAATCCTTTTCTTTGTCCTTTTATCCAATAGTTTGTGTTGATTAGCTGTTCTCCTTGCAGGTGCAACTGCTGATTGGTGGTCTGTGGGTGTTATTCTTTTTGAGCTACTTGTGGGTATTCCACCATTCAATGCTGAAACCCCCCAGGTAATCCATCTGAATATAGCTGATGTGGAACAAAAAGAAATGAAAAGAGATTTGAAACAAAAACAAAATCTAGAAATTTTGGGCAGCTGTATCATATCCAAAAGGAAACTAAACGCTAACTACTAAAAGGATACTAAAAGTGAATTCCTTAAATCCTAATTGAAGTTCAAGAAATATAACTAAAAATAGATTGCTTAAATCCTAATCAAACTTAAAGTAACCTAACACTACATTGGCGAGTTCAAAGATAAAAGTCATAAATTTCAATCTAAAATAAATACAGAATTCCAGTAGAGAAGTTATAACCTAAAAGAATTTAAACTATAAATAAGGTCCTAAAGCGTCTAAGGATCTTATCACACTATTACAATGAATTATAGATTAGCTAAGAAATAAAATCTTAGTCTGTTTAGAAATTTTAACTCAAATCCATTCTGCATCAATATAACTTCTTCATATACTTTTCTGTGTACATAACATAAAACAGGGGTTGAGATTTTTTCTATGCTATTTGATTTCTCTGAGTTATAGTTTAAGATATTATCATCAATTGCAGCAAATTTTTGACAATATAATCAATAGAGATATACCATGGCCCAAGATACCTGAGGAGCTGTCTTATGAAGCACGTGATTTAATTGACAAGTAAGCTTTCTGACAACAAACTTCTGCATTTCCTGGATGTGGACTTTGCAGCATTCTTTACTGTTTTCTCTGTTTCATCTCACACAAATTTTTGACATGTCTGATACTGGAGAAACAAGAACTCTTTTCATTGCCATGTTTGGCACCTAAGTGGTCAGTGCAACCAGAACTTAGTGCACTTCTCTATGCACTTTCCTATAGTTGTCTAATGGTGATTGTATTACTTTTTCTCCATTCTTGCTTTTGATATAAGTTTTCAATGTGACATTACCTTCTCATTTAGTCAACTTATACAAACAGACAAGAATATGTGCTTATTTGAAGATTTTAGGGACAGAATTCTGAGATAAAGACAAAATGACGGGTCATTAAAAAATTTCAGGAACTAGTATGCCGAGGGAGATGAACAAATGGATGGAAAGGGCTTTGTATAAATTTGGTGTTGTTCTTTCCGGAAAATATTTTTATTGTGGATATTCTGATGTTTGTAAAGCCTTTGATGTCTGCTGAAGACATCTTTTTGGTATTATATTAATTGGAAGGGGATACGGGAATAGACAAAATAAGGCATCCACTTGATAGTTAAAATTATAAGAACTTTTTGCAATGACAAAATACTACCTCTCATTGAAAGTCAGTATTAGTACATTTATGGATCATGTTTTCGATGGGCTTCATAGATTGTCCTGCTGATATCAAATTGTTTATCTTAGAATAACTAGTGTATGCTATTTCAGATTATTAACTGAAAGTCCAGTTCAAAGACTAGGAGCAACAGGAGCTAGAGAGGTAAGTCTTGCATCCATTGTCAAAACTTGTCTGCAAATTGCAAGAATTAAGTTCTAAGAAGAATTCCCGGCAGGTGAAGCAACATCCCTTCTTCAAGGATATTAACTGGGACACGCTTGCAAGGCAAAAGGTAATATTTTGATTTTCTGAACTGTTACAGAAATTGGTCTCCTTCAAGTTCTCAGTAACGCCCTTTATTGCCCGCAGGCTACATTCATACCATCAGCAGAACCACAAGACACCAGCTACTTCATGAGCCGGTATATATGGAACCCAGAAGATGAACATGTTCATGGTGGTAGTGACTTTGATGACTTGACTGATACAGCCAGTAGTGGTTCATTCAACACACAGGATGAAGATGTACGCACAATTCCTCTATCACTATATCTCCTGTTTTGTGCATATTGTGGAGTTACTGTGTTACGCTATGATCCTATTCTATCATGCATGTAGTGGAATATAGATACATTTTATAAGGTGGTGATTTGTTGCAAAAAATTTTGGTTTTATTTGTTTGAATTTGAACGCAGACAAGAAAAAAAGTTTTTTTTTTTTTTTTTTTTTTTTTTTCCGGTAATTTTAAGCAAATACAAAAATACGGAATTTTATAGAGTTTTACATCCATATTTAGATTTTCTAATTTTAGGAGTAAATAAATATATAATCAATAGCAATAACTCTTAAAAATTACAGTAATAAATCATAAATATATAAAACAATAACTCCTAGAAATCTGTAATAATAAGTCCTAAAAATATGCAGTAATAATTTTAAAGATGTGCAATCAATTCTTTCTATATTTCTACACCTCCCGTCAAGTTGGTGCGTAGATATTGATCATGCCCAAATTGTCAATAAATGATTCAAACTTTGGTCTGAAATGCCCATTGGTGAAAACATTTGCTGTTTGTTGCTCAGAAGTCATAACGACATACAAATAACTCCATTTTCTAGCTTTTCTTTAATGAAATGTCTATCAATCTCAAAATATTTCGTACGATCATGTTGATTTAGATTGTATGTAATGCTTATACCTGATTTGTTATCACAAAATAGTTTCATAGGTGCTTCTGCATCTAATTTAAGTTCTTGCACCTCACAAACTCCATTTGTCATAGCTCTATACTCAGCTTCTGTACTACTTATAGCAACCACACTTTGCTTCTTACTTCGCCAAGTAACCAAATTTCCCCATACAAACGTACAGTAGCCGGAGATGGATTGTCTATCTGAAACTGAACCTGCCCAGTCTACATCTATGAAGACTTCTATACTCCTGTTAATATTTTTCTTGAACAACAATCTTTTTCCAGGTGTACTCTTTAAATACTTGAGAATCTTGTATTCAACATCCGAATGTTCTTCATAAGGTGAGTGCATATATTGACTCATGACACTAACTGCAAAGACGATATCAGGCCTTATATGAGACGAATAAATGAGTTTTCCAACAAGACGTAGATATCTACCTTTATCAACTGGGATTCCATTAAAAACATTTCCCAACTTTTGATTAGGATCCACGAGTGTATCACTTGGTTTGCAACCACTCATGTCCGTCTCCTCTAATAAGTCAATAACAGATTTTCTTTATGATATAGAAATTTCCATCTTTGACCTTACAATTTCCATGCCCAAGAAGTAATGTAAAGACCCCAAATCCTTAATTTCAAATTTTGAGGTAAGATGTTTCTTCAACCTACATATCTCATCATCATCATTCCCGATAAATATTATATTATCCACGTATACAATCAAGATAGTCATCCTTCCATCACCAGTGTGTTTCACAAATATTATATGATCAGATTGTCCTTGATTATACCCTTATTTTTTAACAAATCTGGTAAATCTCTCAAATCAAGTTTGGGGAGACTGTTTTAGTCCACATAATGATTTTTTCAGATTACAAACTTTTCCTTTAAACTTCTCTTCAAAGCCAGGAGGTGGATCCATATAGACTTCCTCTTCTAGCTCTCCATTGATGAATGCATTTTTAACATCCAATTGAAATAGTGGTCACTTTAAATTCACAGCTACAAAGAATAACACTCGAATAATATTTAACTTGGCCATAGGGGCAAAAGTCTCCTGATAGTCAACTCCATATGTCTGCGTAAATCCTTTTGCTACTAGCCTTGCTTTATAAGATTCCAATGATTCATCTGAGTTGAACTTTACGGTGAAAACTCACTTGCACCCAACAATCAGTTTTCCTTTAGGCAAACGAGTCATTTTCCACGTACCATTTCTTCAAGAACAATCTTTTTCCATTTAGGAACTGTTAATGCTTCCTGTATAGATTTAAGTATATTCATACGTGATAACTGTGAGACAAAAGTATGGTAAGAAGATGACAGGTTCTTATAAGATATAAAATTTGATAAAGAGTGTTGAATACATGATCGAGTTTCTTTTCTAAGAGCAATAGGGAGGTCTAGAGGGTCAGAATGTATTTGTTCAATGGGAAAAAACTTAGGTTCTAGAAACTTAGAGATTATACCTGATTCTTCAGATCCTGATATCGGATCAGATTCTTGGCTTTGAGAAGATATAGTTGCATCTTTCTTACTTTGAATTGGATTTCTTTTAGTGTAAGTTTTTCCAAACAATCTTTCATCATCGAAGCTTGTATAATCCATTTCGCTAGTATCTTTTTTTGTGTTCAGGCACTAAGGTTGGTCCCATGTTTTCCTCATCCAAAATATCAAAATTAAATATTGCAATTGCATTATTTTTGTAACTATTAGAAATATTTTCTTTTTCAAATATCGAGTCTTTATTTTCTTTCTCCTCTTGAAGATGAGGACAAAAAAAACTTTGTGATTTAAGGAATGTAACATCCATCATGACAAAATATTTTTTTCTAGTAGGAGTAAAATATTTATACCATTTTTGTGTGGGAGAATATCCTAGAAAAATACATTTTATTGCTTGTGGATCTAACTTATTTATATTAAGATTATGTATATTAACGAATGCAACGCATCCAAGGACCCTTAGTGGTAAATCTGAAGTCAATCGAGACATTAGAAATGATTTTTTGAAAACTGTTAGAGGTGTCTGAAAGTTCAAAGCTCTTGATGGCATCCTGTTGATTAGATATGTAGCAGTAAAAATTGTTTCTCCCCATAAGTATTTAAATATATTATTGGTAAACATTAAAGATCTAGCTACTTCTAGAATATGCTTATTTTTTCTTTCTGCTACCCCATTTTGTTGAAGAGTGTTATTGCAAGAGTTGTGATGAACAATTTCTTTTTCTAAGAAAAACGATCCTAAGATTCGATTGAAATATTCCTTTCTATTATCACTCCGAAATACTTCAATTTTTGTTTGAAATTGAGTTTCAACCATGGTATAAAAATTTTTGAAAACATATTCTGCTTCAGATTTTTCTTTAAGTAAATAAAACTAACTTAAACGTGTATGATCATCAATAAATGTTATAACCAATTTTGTTTCAGAGTTGGTTAATGTTCTAGAGGGTCCCCACACATCACTATGAATGAATAAGAGAAAAAGGCATAGATGGTTTATATGGTTGAGTAGGGAATGATGCACGATGGTGTTTAGCTAAGTGACAAATTTCATATTGCAATAATATTAAATCTTTTATTACGAAACAAGTTTGGAAATAAATATTTTAAATATTGAAAGATAGGATGACCTAACCTACAGTGCAATACCATTATTTCATCACTAGTAGAATTAAAGCATACTCCAAGATTTGAGGGTTTTGGTTGCTGATACAAAGAATTTCCATCATCAAAGTAATAAAGACTTTCATGCTCCCTAACATTGCCAATCATCATCCCCTATCCTGATCCTGAAATTCACAGTAGTTTGAAAAAATTTAGTACAACAATTTAAGTCCTGAGTTATTTTACTAATAGACAAAAGATTATAAGAAAGATTTAGATTGTGAAGAACAAGAGTGTTAAAGATAATAATTGACCCTTTTCCCAGCAATTATAGAGAGAGTGTATCTTAATTTTTTGATTTCCTGCACAAGGACTATAAGAAGAAAATAATTTAGAACAATCTGTCATGTGATCCGTGACACCTAAATCTATTATCTATAGGCAAAAAAAAATAGTTGACACATTAAAGATGGTAGATTGAAAGTAACCTTTCTGCGCTAAGAAACAAGAGGAAGGTACAGGATTAGAGAATTCTGTGGATTGAAAAAGTCTATACAGTTGTTCTAACTGTTCCTTACTGAATGAAGGTGTTGCAACAACAGATTCTATGTTCCCATTTTTTCGAGATTTGAATACGTTTCTCAGACAACATCCCACACATATTTCGCAGTGGGAAAAAACAAGTATGTTTTCCCAATTGAAGCCTCCATGGAATTGATCAACCAGGCCATTATAAGGGAGTTTTCTTGACTTCCAAATCCGCCATGTCGGATCATTATTTTTTGGCTCCTTTGTCTTGCCAGTGAGATAACCATGTTTGCCTTTGCCATCGATCACCAACTTAATAGATTGTGCTCATTCCAGGTAATTTTTCCGTTCAGTCTGTGAACGGTTAATTGTATTGGAGAATTTTCAATTTCGTTGAGGATTACAGATCCCGACGTTATTTCCAGGAGATGTGGTAGGGGAACTAATGTCATTTATCCTTAATGTTCCAGACATGGTATCGCAAAAAAAATTGATAAGAAGAGAAGGATTTAAAAATGAAAAATTTATTAAGGCCAAATTAACCGACCTAGCTCTGATACCATGAACGCAAACAAGAAAAAGAAATTTTTTTCTTTTTTTTTCTGTTATTTTCAACAGATACAAAATACTGAATTTGTAGAGTTTTACATTTTCATTTAGTCTTCCTAATTTTAGGAGTAAATAACTATATAATTAATAACAATAACTTCTAAAAATTACAGCAATAAATCATGAAAATATGCGATAATAACTTCTATAAATCTGTAATAATAAATTCTAAAAATATGCAGTAATAATTTTAAAAATGTGCAATCAATTCTTTCCATATTTCTACAGAATTCATTTTGATAGACTTGGTAGAACTATTTCGATATCTTTCAATGCAAAATATTTTATTTTGATATCCTCCCAAACCATCTAGATAGACTTCTTTTTTTGCTAATACCATCTAGATAGGCATTGGTATTATTTTCATATGCTAAATAATGTGGGGATCATTTGGAACAATGTGTCGTAGGTAACACGGTTTACATTGGGCATATTACATAGTGAGTGAAACTAAAATCCTATGGTCACATCTAAGATGATCCACATTTATATTTGTTTTTCTTTTTCAAATGGTTGTTTGTTACTGTGGAACAGGGGGATGAATGTGGTAGTTTGGCAGACTTCAGTGGCCCAACCCTCGCAGTGAAGTACTCATTTAGTAATTTCTCATTCAAGGTAAGACCATGTGGTACCTATAAAATATCAGCAACCAGTTTCAAACAATATTATACATGAGCAATTTTCTTGCATGTTCATTTGCATTAGTTTTCAGACTAAGCCTGGCATGTTTCCAGAATGTTTGGATAGGATTCAAGTGTTAAATTAACAAGGTTGCAATTGAACTGTAGAACTCACTTTTTTTTTTTAACTGTGCTACCAGAACTTGTCTCAGTTGGCTTCCATCAATTATGATCTTGTTTTGAAGAACAGCAAGGAATCAGCAGAAGCATCGAAATCATCTATTCCATGACAATCTATTTGGTTTGATTCGATTTGGACCTTCTTTATCCATATTATCACTTGCCAGCCTAAACTATTGTAATTTTGGATTGTGGCAATGAAAATCTCAGCAAAACCCTCATCTGGTTCGTTAAAGCTGGAGTATATGAGCTGTTACTTTTTCCTGATGAAGGTAGAGTGCATCTTACGGAGATGGTTTAACGCCTATTCAAGAATATGCAACGGAGCCAGGAAGTAGTTGGCCTTCATTCAATGCAATAGATCTTCCACACACAAAATGGCAGTGCACTGACAGGTCTTTCTTCCTTTTTCCTTTCAGAAATTGTTTGACCACCTTTTTGTTTCCATAAGATTATATATGTATGTATATATAAATATATATATGTATTCTCTTTCAATAGATAAGAAAGATTTTGTCAGATTAGAGTGTTGCTGTCGCTGGCAGGCTTTGTGAATCTTTGTTGCCTTTCCTGCCGAGATTTATAAGTGGTAACATGACTTAACTTTTAAATAACAATGGATGCCCTGTAGAAGAGCGGAGATTTTAGTATATAGGATGTTGTTTATAGTGCTGTTATCAAGTCCCATGGGCGATGCCTCTGAGAAATACTTTTTTATGACTCACTCAGACTTGGGTTCAAAAATTACAAAAGATTTTGCTCTTAGCAAAGAAAGGAAGAAAAAAGTAGAGCACCAAGCAATTGTTGTTTTGTTTAGATTCCTCATATTTGAAGCTCCTAAACTTTGTAATTGGGTTAGCATTCCACTTTCCCCTCAACATTCTAGGTAAATTTTGACCGACTATCTACCCTACTTGGCATTGTTATCTTTAATGGTTGAGGTGGCATGGAGCTTGGAATCTCAGCAATCATCATCTCATTGTACATAACCTCAATAACTAAATGGAAATACATTCATTTCTAATGATTTCCCTTTTTTTTCCGAAATATTACTAGGATTATATGTCAATTTGCACATGTTGGTAAAGAAATAAAAAAAAAAAATTGAAATTATAGGAATTATGATGGCTCTATTCCTTTTGATCATAGGGACCATTAGTAGTATACTAAATAGATGAAGCAGATCGTGTGAAAGTTTTAGAAGGAGACCATTTATTTACTCCAGTGCTTTGTTTGTGAATTATCTTCTTATTTGTTATGGTGTTGTAATATATCAATAGAAAATCTCTGTTACATCAGAAAAACAAACTGTTATTTTTGTTAAGCCACAGTGAATCAGCCATAGAGAGAGAGCGAGAGAACCTCCAGCACCGTCGTGCATGACCACTCTATTTTTGTAGTGAGTATCCTGCTGATAGAACACCCTTCTATCTCAGCTCATTTACGAAAAGAGATACGAATGAATTCACCATCTAACCAAATAATGGTTTGTATGTAGTTATGAACTACGTGCACTTAAATGAATTAATTAAAGTGAGCCTAAAACTTGTGATGTATATACTGGATTAGCATCACTTATTGAAAAATTATAAGTTGAATCCACAGAATTCATAAATTAAGATTTCTGTCAATTTTTTTTTTTTTATGGAAAATCTTTGTCTAAATATCATATCAAATAAAAAAATAATAATAATTTATTATCGTTGTATATAAACTACATAGATAAAATAAAAATAATATTCAGTTTTGTCCTAAAGAATAAACAATACGACAACTTCCAAGAATAAAATCAAATCTACTAATTTGTCTGAATGTGAATTTGAGAAGATTTAGATTTGAAACTATTAGTCTGAACTTTGTTAGATCCTCCTATCCACTACAACTCTTTCATCACTTTCAATCATAAAATTTGGAAAACCAACATTTCCCAGCTTTACTTTATGCAATCAACAACTGCAAACATAATAACTCTCTATCCTAATTCTCCTTAAACTTGGCTATTGCATCATTTAATATAATTTAATTTGAAAAATTAGTTGAGGAAGGATATTCTCGCTGTTCTAATGAATAAATGGACGCAAAATTTTCAAAATGAGTTCAATAGTGTCCCGCCAAATGTTTCATCCAATCATAAAGACACGCAAGGACCATGATTGGGAATTGTTTGATAGTTTTTCTTCAAGTAAAAGGCGATGACAAATCTTTAACTTATAAATTCAATGGGATTAATTAAATTTCAATGATATCGAATCAAATCAGTATCATGAATAATAATTTTTAAGCTATCAAATCGATAATTTAATTAGATCTTCAACCCTAGTTTTGTTGAGGTTGGATCTTTGTTTTCTTTCTCTCCCTCTTCCCTCTCCCTCCTTATTCTACTTAATTATAAAATATAAAAAAAAGATTGGTTACAGATATTTAATTGTATCCCTAATTTTTTTTAATAATTATGAGATATCATTTCTCATATAATCATATAATCTCCGATTATACTTATTAAGGTTTTCTTTCGAGTTTTTTCTTATATAATGGTTTACAAGAAGTAGTCAACAGTCAATTTAGTATAGTTTTTTTTATAAAAACTCCTTAAGCTCTTGACTCAATATTAGATGATTGGCTAACCGTGTCCTTATTAAATAAAACATAAGTATATAATACCTGAGTTTATTCTAAATATCAAAGAAGAGTATTCATAAGTATAGCTGCTATTGTTGTTTCAAAAAGAGATATCCTAATAAATAAATTTTTTTCTTTTAATTTATTTTATTGTCATGTTAACGCAGAAAATAAATTATTATTTTTATTTAATAAAAATTAAAATATAAATTTTTTATTTAATTTATTGTACTTATTACAGTTTAAAAAATATAAACATCATCTAATATTTATTTCTTCCAACTACGTGAGATAAAACTATTTGATTTGATTTGATTCGATTGATTCAATACATGCCACTATCTGCCAATTTTGCTCATCTATTTTGCATTTTTAAACTTGTAATATTATATCTTAATGATTTATAAAAAGGAAAATAACTGTCAAACAAGGGTATATGGTCAAAAGTTAACTTATGTTGACCAGTCAGTTTATACAACAATGGTTTGACATTGACCCTAGTGTTGTTATTTATTTATAAGTAGAGGGTGGTAATTTTTTATTATTCTAATTAAATTATGAGGGCATTTTAACATTCTGTTATAACTCCGTCGCACAGTTGTCACGTGGGATGGCTCATACGACCTTGTGTTCTGCGGCGGCTTGGTGGTGCGTCACCAAGAAACCGACATTTCTGTTATTTAAGTTTCTTTCCCCCTCTCAGATTGCATCGCCGAAAAAGATTAGGCCTAGTCCTCCTTCAACGTTTTATTCAATTCACTGATCCGATCACTTTTCCTTCTTCTGGTTTTGTTTCAAGTAAGTCTTCCAAAATTCATCAGATTGAATTTCTTTCTTGTTAAGAAAACAATTCCAGATCTTAGATACTGTTCAAACCCTAATTTGATACCCTTCGCTTCGTATCTTGTGATCTGTAGTTGAAGACGTGAACGAAGAATTACTCCTTGGATCGTATTGACAGTACCGCCATGGTTTCCTTCGAAATGAATGACCGAAAAAGTGAGTACATACGGATACTGTTCGCTATTGGTTGCATTTTCCACTATATATGTAACTCTTGCATGTGTATACGGAGTTTACGACTCGAGCAGATTTTTGTGTTATTTTTCATTTGCTTGTGAGAGCCAAAGCGTAGTTATGAATTTCATGGAAATTTTCTTACTGCTTATGGGAAGTTGTCTTTCATTTATTTCATTGTCAACTGTTTGGCTGTGTGCTGTGGATGATAATAGGGAAGGGGAAGGGGAAGGGGAAGATGACTATGGCTATTTGCGTTTGTATTTTAGGTTGAAACAAGTACTTAAATGGCATTTGCTAGTGGTTTAATTATTGAAGGAGAGGAGGAAATTTAGGTCTCATTGAGTTGGTGACAAAATCCTGTAATCCTGCATTAAATACGACGAGGGAGAGAGTAGCGGTAGAAATATGGGCGGGGGAGAAGTTACCATATATCTAGGAAAGGTAATTCCATCTCCCCCATTCTTAAAATTCTGTGAGAGAGTAGGGTGTCTATGTTTTTGTAATGAGAAGGTGAGATGAAATTTAAAGACCAAAATTATGGATCTCTTCTCTTTTACTATGGATAAGGTTTTAAGCTTTATTTTCTGTATTGCTATTTGGGAGATGGTGTTGGAGGTGTTGAATTGCTGGTTATATAAGCAGCAGTTTTGGAGAATTTATATGGTGTATGGAAAGGGTCCGTTTAATCAATTTAAGCATTTTGTTTCAAATCATCTTTTTCACAGTGTGGGGATAAGTTGTAAATCTTATTCCAAATAAATGGAAGTTGACTTGCAGTCTCTCACGTACCATATTGTGTATCAATTTGCCACATTCAGTTTCTACAATAATGTGGATTTGGAGAAAGTGGTCTAATGTTTATGTTTCAAAACTTTATGCTCTGTTTTGATTGCATATG